TCGGAACAAAAATATTCACCCTAAACCATGGATTGTTTTCCAGTTTTCATCTCCCTGGTTTTCAGCCCTCCCCGCAAACACAGATCATTCCTTGAATGGTTCTACAAAATGGAAATATTAAAGGACAATAAATTAATATGTTCACTAGATTATGCAGTGCCTCTACTAAATGTTTGGGGATCTAAAAACTAAAATTTTCTTTTGTTGTGGCTGGGCACTTCACACAATGTACCAAATAGCTATTTCTATCAACTCCTAAAGCAACTATCAAAGAGCTTTCTTCGAACTTAACACAGATTTGACAGGTTTTGGAAAAACATAGTTATAGTTTTAATTGTTTTGTATCATTCAGAAAACAGAAACAACTTCTGTTTAAGTGTCCTGACGGCAGAGACTGAGATGAAACATTTAAATTAGCGGAATTTTAGTGCCTGGTTTCAGCACATATGGGGAGGGGTCTGTAAGCCTGCCTCCAGTGAACGAAGGCCTTTGGAGGTAAATTAGCTTAACCGCAGAAAGAGGAAAAGCTGTTAGCATTTTTAATAACTATATACTTACCTTTTACTTACTTAGTAAGTAATATGTAAATGGGAGAGGTATATTAAAGTAGGGTGGTCTGTGGTAGGTTTTTCATGAAACATGTTGTGTATGCACTCCATATGTTAAACAACTTAGATTTTTTTCACTATCAGTGTGACAATACCAATTGTCTAGTTTTCATTCATATGTGCTCATCAAAATGTAACAAAGGATGAATTTTACTATAGAGCTGCAAGTCCCTGATACCCCGATTGCCACTTTGCTTGGACATACCATGTTGTTTCTCTCCCTAAAATCCACTGTATGAGGAAAAAGAATTTCTGTATTGGAAAAAAATGGTTTCACCCATTTGTCAGGTATTACCTTGACTCTCGCAGGAATGAACAGACTTCAGAAAGATTGTTTTGTTGTCTTTGCTCTGCAAAGGTTGCCCAGATGTTCCGACACAATAAGAGATTTAGAGAACATTAGGGAGACCAAAACATTCCATTCGCATGAGAAAAACTAACTATACAACATCTGAGGCAAACCTTCAGGGAACATTCTTGCAACCAACAAAAACAGAGTTCCCGGAGCAGTTAAAAGGAATCAGATTGAGTTTTAAAGCAGACGTGTTTTCCTCCACTTGTTTTCAAAATGAAAACATTTCTCAGTGTGATTAGCTCAAGTTAAGATTAAACAGCAGCTGAAACCCAAAGTGCCACAAAGACCCCTCCCATCACATTTCCTCTGAGGCTGCTGGGGGGGTCAGGCAGGCAAAGACGTTGGGGCACGCTTCCATACGAGTTGCCATGCCAATCAATATGTAACATCTATCAGCATTGGAAAGCAATATTTCCCCTTTTACCTTGCAATAATTGTGCTTAATGCTGTGAAGTACCTTATCACGGGTCTGGCGGCGAAAGAAAGGCCCGTCACCATGGTGACCATGAAAGCCATTGGTTTCCTTTTCAGCACAATAATGAACTTCTCTCCTCGGCGTGTCACTCTTCCACCCCACTCTGAGCCTCTTCGATTAAAGTGAAGACCACACGTCCTTGAAATCCTCCGTCTCTTCCTTATAATTGGACAAACAGGAGCACACAGGGGAAAAAAAAAAAAAAAGCTCGAGGCTCAACAAATACATCACTTTAGGCTGAGGCGTGGGTGTATCTAACAATCAATGCACTGTGTGTTTTTAAATTTACACTCGCAGGATTAGATCTCCCTAGATGAACATTTTAATAGAATTAAGCATTTCTTTGGTTTTGCTTCCAGACTGAAATACAGTGTGACATGTTTGAGACATTTCTATGAAACAAACTGCCTCCATCCTCCCATACCATAAGAAAATCTTAGAATGCAATTTTCAGTCAAGTGCAGTTTGGTTTCATTGATTTTTATCATGGGTTTTAAGTTTGTACATATAGCATGGTGGTACTTCAATTTCAAAGTACCGTAGCCTTGCATTGTTAAATAAAACCCATCAGCAGAGCTTTGTGCATGTTCTGCTGTAAAGATGAAAGCGTTTGAAAACTATTTTCCAGACTAAAACCATAGGACTAACTTTAAGGAACTGAGTTGTATAGGTCTTGAAGAGGTATTGATGGTGTGAGTTTTTTTTTTCTATGAGAATTTCTTTTTTCTAAATTGTCTTCATTCCTGTCTTGAATGATTGTCTTGGCTGTACACAGCGTCCTTGGATGCTGGCATACCCACTGGCCAAGGACATCAAGTCTTTTATTCTGTGGTCCTGCCTGCATGGAAAAGGGGGTGGCAGAGAGAGTCAGGAAAACTTGGACATGCACAGATCAGAATAAGTCCAGTAAAATAATAGGTCAAGTAAAGATTTTTAAAGACAGTTTGCAGTAAAATGTATTAATAACAGAAAATATTGTGTTTGTTTAATCATTGAGTTTTCAGTTGCCTATATTTATTATATTTGTAAATGTTGTTATATTTGTAAATGTTATTTACGTAAATAAATTGTGGAAAAATCATATGAACATATTTTTAGTATGCCATCTGTTCTCTAAGCTAAACTTAATATTTTGGCTATTATTTTTCTTTAGGTACATTCCTAAAAACCATGGTCCAATTAAAGTTCCTGATCAATTACGAGAGCCAACATCAATCTTAATTAAGAAGGACGCCAAAAATGACTTCAGAATATCTCCCTTTATCGTTATTGCTCAGGTCGTCGATCAGGTTTCCAGATGGGAGTTTTTTTTATTAATAAGTAGTAACCAGATTCCTACAAATACCGGCTCGGTTGTGTTGCAAGAGTTGGTGTGGCGTTATTATGACGTGCTATCTTTTCCAAAAATATCAATCCTGCAGATGATAAATTTAATCTTGGTCTCTTTGGATTCGTCAAGTCAATTTAAATGTGCGCATTTCTGATCAGAAAATCAACATGTTCTAATCAGAAGTTTAAGGAAAACAGCATTTTCTGTTCAGAATGATTTATGCTCATTTTTAAATAAATGCTTTCAGCATTTATGGAGCCAGTCACTCCCGTCGGCCTGAATTTCAATCACTTAAATTCAAGAGTTGCTTTGATTTTTTCTTTAAATGAAACTTACCTGTAAGGGTGGGGAGGCACAAAGTGATAGAGATATATATACATTTATAGAAATGTGACAGCTTCAACATTAAAGGTTAGTGCAGTTTAAATAAGCAGCACCTTACAAAACCCCACCAGTCCTCCTATTACCAAATAATAAAATTGATAGGACCAAAATCATAAAGTTAAAAAAATAAAAAAAAGATAAAGGATACTGCGATTAATTATGTGATTTGGCTGTAAACATTTGAAATAAGGAGAAAGATTCGGAGTTTTCCATGCTCAGCATCAATGGTGGGGCGAGCAGGTCAGCAGTCCAGGATACAATTTACCCAGAATTCATCCATCATGTCCGGTACGAAACTGCACGATGATTTTTTATTGATTAAATGCATCTTTCTGCTTTTCGCCTTCAGTTGCATTTCGGTCTGCCCTGGCACCGACTCCCAAATGGCCAAAAACCGAGCCAGCTTTATCCAGACAGTCCAGGAAAAACATCCACACGTTACTGGATTTTCGTTTCAATAATAATTGTCTTTTATTTAATATGGGTGGAAAAACTCAGCTTGATGCTCAAAACTGCCTCTGAACTTAATTGGACCACGAGGAGGCGCGCGTGAGCTGGTGTCCCAGCGTTAGAAGAGCCGTATCTTCCGCGTGAACTCTGCAGCTCACAGCTGAAGCCCATCGAACTGATGAGCACTCTGAAACAGGTTTGTGTTTGTTATCTTCGTCACAGCCAACCTCCCGTTTAAAGACCCCCTGCTGCAAGCCAGTGCCAAATGAAAACGGCTGCCTCCAAACAGAAGCTCAGTTCATATCAAATGGGGGAAATCTGGTAACACACTTCAAAGCCTTGAAATGAAAATAAATAATTAGGCTACATTTTTTGCCTCCAAAAAGGTAAAACATATTTTTGCCACGTGAATAATACTGCAAGTCAGTGTACGGCTTCCTGTTAAATTCTAGGGGGCTTAAAATAAAAAATGTTTTACCTTGATTCAAGTAGTCTGGAATTGACTTATTTAGTAGCCTATTTAGTTCTATTGTTTTAAAATAAAAGCTATTCCACTCTTTACATTCATTTGAAATGTTTTCATTAATGATTAAATAGTATTCTAATTATGCTGTGCAGCATAATCAAACTATTCAATTGTAATTAATTATTCGATATAATTGCAAACCATCTCAGCTTCTTTTTTTTCCTTTTTTGGAGGGGTTTTTTTGGTCTTACCTGCCTTGTTCTGGGCGTGACAGAAGTTGAAGGACGGAATGCTGCCAGTTGTACACTTATTGCCACCTTGGCAGGACGGGACAAGTCAGCAGTTTCACTCACAGCCTGGAGGAAAGTACCATTGTGCGAGGATTAGGGGCCATAATTTCTCGGTATCAGAGTGTAAGCCTGAAAAACGCACTTCTCGGAGATGACACTTTAACTGCCATATCATTCAGTGAAAGGGCATTGGTCAGTGATAACATATATACTTTCATTTTCCTTTTTTTTGCTGAGTCGTGTACTCGGTGCTTGTTTCAGTTTGCCTGAAACGCATAAAAGCAGTCAGGGCAGCCTCTTTAAACCTGGATTAGACCCCTTACCATTCAGATTAGTGTCGCTGTTATCATGTGATGATGCTTTATGAGACATAAAACTATGACTACGAAAAAAAAGTTTGTGCTTTAAGTCACGACTCACAGGATACAGTTCTTCATACACTTCATTTTTTTTTTTTAAAAAGGGGGGACAGTGCTTTGTATAAGTGAGTAAAACTTTCCAGCTAGGATTTCAACTATTGCAAAACAATCAAGGGGTTTGACAGAGATGACTGATAGAAAAAAGACCTTTAAAATGCTTGAATGATTCCCAGAAGTATGAGGGGGGGATCCAAACTTCCCCCCGACTGAGGTGTGGGTGGATTTAAGGGGCCAGAGGCTGTCCAGGGCCGTCTTGTCTGCCTTTCTGCGTATCCTTGGAAAAAAAAAGCTTTGAAAAACTGAAGGACAAAAACAGCTGGTCTGGGATCCAGGACTTGCAGCTGCGGTTTCTGGGTAACATGAAAACACTGCTGATAACACAGGAAGGATCGCCTCACCGTTGCCTCATCTCTGAGACACCAGCCAGGCTGCCTGCCATAGTTTTTACCCACAAATATACAAAAACAATCCACTGTGTCAGTGCATCATATATAGAGGGCGAAGGCAGATTCTGAATATGCATTGTTGACCCTCAGGCAGCTTTCACATCGTTTCATTTTCTAAAGAATTCTGTCCAAGAATCCCCCGTGTGGTTAATCCTTACACACAGGAAAAAGGAATAAACTCTGATTGAAAAAAAATCAAATAAAACCACTTGACCCTAACGTCGCAAAGGCAATGAGGAGAACTGAAACATGGTCTTTTCGACCTATCAAAACACAGATATCACATACAGCATTTACACAGTCTAAGGTATGATTACTATATGCTGATTATTGTTCTATTATCTCAGGGGAGAAATCTTGGCACCAACAGAAGTATTTAATATTTTCTTCTTTCCTGCTCATTTCTTTTCCTCTTCGCCTACTTTAAGTGGTGAGTTCTTACAAACTACTAGACCTATGTTGCCATTTTTTGGCTGTGCCGGTTCAGGGCTTTGGCTAGTGGTTACATATCTTCTCCCAGTCACAGCAGACATCAGTTTGGAGCGGTAGTGATCCCCGGCCAGAAAATACAAGATGGGATCGATGCAGCTGTTGATGCTGGCCAGAGGCCTGGTGATCTTGTACGTGAAGTTCACAATGTTGAGGAACTCACAGTTCAGGTTCAGCACCCGGGAGGTGTAGTAGAGCGTCCGCGTGACGTGAAACGGGACGAAGCTCAGAGCGAACACCAGCAGCACCACCACGATCAGCTTGATGGACTTCTGACGGGAGCTGGCGCCTTGCTGGCTGGCAGATAATCCCCGTCGGGGCCGGCACAGAGTCCGCGCCATCAGGCAGTAACACACCACGATCACCAGGAATGGGATGCCGAATAGCAGCGCCATGACCACGGAGCTGTAGTCCACGTACTCCTTGAAGGCCGCCTGGTTGGTGGTGTCGTGGCACAGGGTGTCGTTGTCCCTCGTGGAGGTGGTCACAAAGATGAGGTTGGGCACCAGGCAGAGGGTCACCAGAGCCCACACGGTGCCGCACACGAGGTGGGCGTGCCGGGACTTGACCAGGGTCAGCGCCCGGATTGGGTGGCAGATGCCGAGGTAGCGATGCACGCTGATGCAGGTGAGGAAGAGGATGCTGCAGTAGAGGTTTGCGTAGAAGAGGAAGCGAACCGCTTTGCAGGCAGCCAGGCCAAAGGGCCAGTGGCTGCGGTTGGCATAGTAGTAGATGAGGGTGGGCAGGGAGAGCACGTACAAGAAGTCCGACAGGGCCAGGTGGAACATGTACACGGTGCTGGGCTTCCACGGACGCATCTTCGAGAAGACCCACAAGGCCGTCGCGTTGAGAACGAAACCGAACACAAACACCAGACCGTAGGAGACGGGAAGGAGAATGTATTTGAACTCCTCATCAAAGCGACAGCTGGAGTTGAAGACGGACGTGAACACTGCCGGCTGGCGGCGCACGCTGGCGTTTCCCATGCCCGGGTCCATTACGGGACTGTACAGCCTGGATCCTGAAAAGAAAAAACAAACACTTTGACACCAGCGTTTCCACGTTACTTGACACGAGCAGAGTGAAAAAAGAGAATATCTTAACAAGGCTGTCCACCCATCCGTTTTTATGCCCACTTAATCCAACTCAGGGGTCACAGGAGGGCCGCAGCTGCCATTTGGTGAGAGGCGGAAAAAACCCTCTCAACGTATGACTGGCTGCCGGTCCATCACAGGGCCACGCCGAGGCAAATGTGTCTAGCAACCATTCATACTCACAGCCTCATAGGGTCGATGTTGAGAAACCGAACGTGCATTATCTTGGATGTTGGGAGGAGACCAGAGTACCCAGAGATACCCCCCCCCCCCCATACAAGGAGATAACACACAAACTCCACATAAAAAAGACCCCAGCTGGGATCTGAACCTCTTGCTCTGAGGGAACGGTAGTAACCACCATACCACTGTGCAACATCCCAACAAGGGTGTTTTACCACTCAAATGGACATTTTGTAGTATTTTAAGTATTTAATAAACTAAAATAATTTTCTTAATTTATAAATGTGGCCTCATTTAGTGTAAAATTACCTCTGCAATGATCTGACTTCTGTATATACATAGGACAGGTAAGTCCATGGAGGTTTCCATGTTGTTCCGCCGTTTTGAACAACTATAATCGCAGAGAGGGACATAAAGCACTAGTCTACTCTTTAGCTAATCCAAAACGTGTTTTCGTTCAGAACCAGAGTCACTTGACTGAAATTTCGCTATCTTGTTCGAGGAGTAATTACATGCTCACACTGATTCAAGTCATTCTCTAATGCCTTTTAAATGACAAACCTCATCTTCCGCAAGATAACTTGATGATGTGGAAGTCATGTTGTCATTACTTCTTGATACATGACATCTACCATAGTTGCAATACCCATTTGACAACGCGAGGCCACATAGAATTGTGTCACTTGTAATCTCAGCAACACTGCTGGTATTTGGGAAACTGAGGAGACTGATTGCAGTGCGATTCAAAACAACATATTTTCCCCATTCATTCGTGATGAATTTCACCTGTTTAACTAATTTTCTTTTCCCAGACTTCTTTTGGTTGCATAATCTCAGAACTGTGTTTTGCAGGCAAAACTCTAACAGCAGATCCATCAGCTGGAACACATCAGGGCACGGTTTGGTGCTCCTTTCATAAGCAAATCCCGCCTTCATAGACGGGAACCACAACTTTGTGATGTGCACGAATGTGCAGCCATGGCAGAATCGATGTTATCTTGTTTCTTTTTATTGTTTTGAGTTCTACATGGATATATGGGTGAATAAATAGTATGAAGTTTATTTACATTCCCCTTTTACACCATACCCCAAAACAAATAAATACACAAACTAAAAAAAACATGCAAAACTGGAAATCATAGTTGGTAGATCTCGGTGAATACAAGAAGTTTAATGTTACAGCCTAAACAGATCATTTCTTGCAGTGAAGTGAGTTAATTTCCTTTTCAGTATTTTCACTTTCACTTAGTGTTATGAGACCCACCATATATGATAATAACCATAGATTCATGCAAGCTCTAGTTAAGGTTTGAAGTGTTTATACTAGTACTTTAAGTGTTTGAGATCACCGTCTTTAGTAAGAATTTGTAACACATGCAAACGTATGTGAATATACATCAAATTAGCTTCTATTCAAAACTTCCTCATCTTAAATGCGGTGAATTTGTTTACATCCATTCGGCTTTCCAAAGTTCAAGTCCGTGTAGGAGCGAGCTGAGCAGCACTTGCTTTGCGTGCCACTGAAACAGCAGACATTTGGCAACATGTCTCCACTCACCCAAACAGTTGAAATCCAGAAAAACTCGTCTTCTTCCTCTCCTTCTGCCACTTTTCCCTTTCAGACAAGATAACTGGAAGCCGTTCCTGTCATCCCGTCGCCCCGTCTCTGAAGTTCCAAACCCCGCATTTAGAGCTCCAGCTTTAACGCATTAATCGCCCCCCCCCAAAACGCTGGAGTCCACCCAGCAGCCCCGGACACAATGAGAGCTGAGCGCTCGGAAAGCGGGAGACACGGGAGTGTGGCTGAGGGGGGAAATGGGAAGTTATACTGCTGAGTGGAGGAAAAAAGCCAACCCCAAACACCCCCATCCGCGCGCCACCGCCGGTGTGACCGAGCACCGAAAACTTTGAGCAAAGTTCACGCTGAAAAAAGTTTTGATTTAGGGGCTATGGCCCTCGAGGGAGGCTCTACCACCAAGTCCTGTCGGGCATGTCAAAGTTACACCCCCTAATACGAAGGGCTGCAGTTGGTGAGCAGCGGCTGCACGCACGGACGCGCGCACTGCGCAGTGCTGACTGCATGCTGAATAAAGTTCAGTTATTTATCCAAACGGCTTGTAAAAAGCAGGCACCGTCTGCCCTGGCTTAGTGGCTAAACCTAACGCACGTCAGTCAATCCAGCTGTTTGACAACGCTGGAGTTGGCAGTTTGATTCTGAAACATTCTACCTCTCCATCTTCTTTGTGTCCGGAGGAGGTTCATTGTGCAAAAGACTGATTAGTCATGTGTTAAGTAGATCTTTTCCAAGAGAGGTGGGAAAACAACTGAAGCCCCACCGTTCATCATGAGGAGAACAGCACCTTTTCCCTTTCTACATTTGGTTTGCATCATGTTTGGCCTTAATGCTCAAACCAGGGGGGAAATTGCCACTGTTACATGTGCTCAATGCGTTTGGCTGAGATCTTCTGTTGTGGTTTTTTAGTGCTATTGCTCCAGATAAAAAATAGATTAAAACAAATTGTTTTATTCCCATTTAGCGAATGCAGACAGATCTGCAAACATACTTTGATCCAAGAAGCAAAAGTGCCATTCTCTAGTTTTTAAAGGAAACTGGATGTTCACAATAACTATTTTCTACTTCAGTCACTCTTTTTGTACAGCAGAATTTTATTCATACCCCGCTAATGTATTGTTATATAGTCGGTGTGCTCATTCCATTGATAAGCAAACAGCTAAAGGAGTTTGATTAATCTGATAATTTACTGCACACATATTAAAATCCTGCAACACCAAGGTCCATATACATTTGCAAACAAATAATAGGTATATTCTTCATTAATAGTTAAGCAGGAGTCATTTTTCTGCACATTTTGCTGTGAATTTTGAATATTGTATGAGTTAAAGATGGTACGTAACAGCTTTACATAATTGTAATGCTTAATTGTAATCTGTAAAAGACCCAAACCATACTTCCTCCATTATTTATCTAGGGGATTATACACATTCCAATAGCAAAACCTAAGGAGATGTGATACCCAAGCACCATAGATGCTGAAAATTGCACAGCTGTGCTATAGTGGAAACTCACATGACCCATCGCAGAATTCTAAAGTCAACTCATAAAGACATAAAAGCAAGCAGGACATGAGATTTCCCCCACTGTAGGCTGACTCAAAACGAGGCCTAATTTAATAAGTTACTAGAGACTAAAGTTTAAATGATACACTGACACAGACTAGACACCATCGATGTGTCCAACCCACAGACTATGAACTCAACAGGTTGAAATGACCGTTTAATAGCCTGTGCAGACAAAACAACACTAAACGAAAAAGACTACACCCCGGTGACATATATCCACGTCCCGTAAAGCACCACAATGCAGGCAGCAGGAGGGTCATTTGAGGCTTATGAGTTTAACATGAAAACAAACGTCATTCTCAATAATGTCTTGAAAAGAAGCCAGGAAATTCTCAGCGACAGAGGGCTTGGATGGAACATTCCATACCTTATGTCAGCACCTCTGCGACACGGGCTCAAGTCCAAGATAACATTTTCCTCCTAAAAGGCCATTATCATGAACTTCACTGGCACCCTTTTGATGGACACCCTGTCCACCATGGAAACACAGCATGTCACTTCCAGGTTGGGTTGAAGCAGGACATACTAATTCTGCGCCTCTATTAATTGTCTCAGGTTAACCCCCCCACCCCCCTGTATCTTTCTCCAGTGGGATAGCTAAATATGGAGAAGGAATACAGATATCCATTTGCTTTTTCTTGGGGATTTTTAAATTGGATTTTCTGCGGGCGCAAAGAAACTTTCGACTTGAAGTTGCCATCTAGTCTTCTAGTTGCAAACTGCACACACAATTCATCACTCTTGACAATGAAGCTCTGGCATGTAGCAATAGGACTAAGACGAAAAACCTCTCTTTTGAGTGAATACCGTACATAGAGCAACAATAGCGCACAACTGCTCGCATAAGAAACTGACCCCTTCACCCCATTTACAGTCACACTGATGTTTCTGTGTGTGCAGGGATCCACTTTGTTTTAATGCAAGTTTCCGCTCAAATAGGTTAACTTTGGTGGCACTGGAAGATTTCATGCTTGTGAACTATATGTGGAATGTGAGTGGGTCAGAGACAAAGAATCTCTTTGCATTGAGACCCACTGAATGGCTTGCTCTTACAGCACCTTTGTAACCTTGGTTAAAAAGCTTGCTACGGCTTCTCTCATTCACACATTCACACAAGGACCTACCTATAGTGGCGGAGCTGCCATGCCGGGCATCCACACGCATTCTGGAGCTGATAACAATTTGAGTGTCTTCACCAAGGACGCGAATCCATGCGGAGAGGTCGGGGGATCAAACCGCTACGTTTGTGGCTTAAACAAGGATGCAGCCTGAGGGGAACTGTCACTTTTACTTGTCTTCCTTTGACTGCACCACAGTGACCGAGCCAACTTAACCCGTGGGTGTCTACGAGCTACATCCAACACCGAGTCATTTGATGTTTCAATAACTGTATTCAGAACTCTTTTATTGAAGTTTCTTTGTCTTTCAAAAAACGGATTAAAAACCGGTTGTTTATTTTTTTTCCTAAAAGTTTCAATGGTTTTCACTATTGTACGCTGCAAACTTTCCCAGCCCTCGTACATTTGATGACATCACCGCCGTCAGTAAGGCAGTGGCTTGCTGGTCACTGACATGTGTTTGTCCAGAGCGTAATAAGTAACTACCTGACCTGAATCCTTCAAATCACCACCACTCACACTGAGTAATGTATTTACGAGTTATTTTGGGGTTAGAATCCATCACTCTGATAGAGTGAACCAACATACCGCACACGTTTTGGACATCACTATAATTTCAGGAATCCTGTCATTACTCAGAGAGAAAAAATATCTGAATTGCTTCAGCGATTTGAAGACTTTTAAAGGAATTCTTCCATCCGTTTGGGAACGTCAACAACAACTGACCTTAAACGAGGATTCAGATGTTTAGCAGGTAACTGGGGTATGCGCTTACTGGTTCGACTTACATTTATTTGCTTTTCTTTTCAAGGATGACTACATTGAATAACATGCAAGAAGGATAATATGAGGGCTGGACCAGTGCCCTGAAATGGATAAGATAATAATGGATAAGAGACATACAGATGAGGTGGCACTCCCCCCCCCCACACTTTTCGTTTCGTGTAATTTCTTGATTACCCAGTAACAGTCGAGTGTTTTTTATGCTCTTCATAAATGGGTATAGCGACTGAACAGTAAATAGGGTGGCATATGGTAGGTTTTTTTAAACCTGCTTTCCGGACAATCTTCAAGTACATAGGGATGCATTTATGCCCTATCAGTTGATGATTATAGGGCATTTAAAAGCTTGGACTCTTGGTCAGTAATAGCAGTATGTAATCGAGGCCCAAGGCAGAACGGTGGATGGTAAACATAACCCAAAGTGACCAAAGAAAAATGAAGGTCTATATTTTCATAGTGATTTATGATTCACTTGAAACAAAATAAATGAAGCCTACATATTCATAATCAACATTTATTATGTCATAAAAGTAGAGACAAATATCAAATGGCTTCCCAATCATTCCATCAGCTATTAAGATGGCATATAAAAAAATAAAATATTGTGCAATGAGTACTTCCTGCATGGTTTCCTCAGTCAGCGATGTGTTGAAGTCCAACGGATTTGACTGACAGATCAGCCACCTTTCACTTAGAAAAGTTCTTCCAGTTTGAATTGAGTAGATTACATGACTGTGTACCATCAGCGTCTTCATCTCTGTGTCAGTTCCAATTCCTGGGCAGGTTCTCCAAGATCCTGCGTCGGTGTGAAGGGTTCGTTACTCCAGCGGCACATAAGTCCTCCTCAGTGATGCCACTGGTGGGGACAAATTGTGTCAAAAACAACTTTAAACAGGTGTCACACATTTTTATGTACTGATTTATAGCCTTTGTAAAAGTTGCAATCTGGTCAAATCGAGCAAATAGGTGTTCCCATACAGATACATTAGGGCATGAACGAATGCATCAAGTTTTTAAACCAACGCAGTGAAGAAAAACAGAGAGGTTCAAATTTTGGAGTCAAACAGAAAGCAATAACCTCACAGAGACCCTTTGCTGTTGAGCATGCCTCTGTTCTTCAAATTAAGCTTTCATTCTCTGTGAACTAACCTTTATTTGAAGTTGCCTTGAGACTGTTGTGTCTGAGTTAATCATAATAAGGGGTTTTCAAATAATCGTACAATTTTCATTGTCGTTTTGCCCTCTGAAATTTGCTTGTCATGTACCCTTTTTTCTTAATCTAGTGTTTTTTCCCACCTAATTTGTACTGTTTTCTTCTTATATAAATTGTTTTACTTTCCATTGTCTCTTGTTTTTTGTCCAGAGCTGTTGCATTTTTTTTCCATCTCAGGGTCACTTTCCAGTGCAAGAACAAAAACCCTGTCTGGAGTAATAGTAACACCAATCTTGAAGCAACACAGATGTCTGAGTTTGTTTTACTGCTGACACTTGCAAAGTTTTCCTTTTCCTTTTGTCACATGCACAGCAGCATCTTAAATTCACTTTTATTTGATATTTGAGGGCCGTTGAAAAGTACATGCCTTTCAACATGCAAGAACACAGTGAGGATCCAGTAAGAATGAGCTGTAATAGGCAACATGAAACCTGTACCACTGACGCTTTATGAAATGAGATACGCAAATAACTTTATTCAGCACAATTACCTGAAATAATCCAGATCATCCCAGCCATTGAGGCTAAGTCCCAGGGTGTATTTTTGAAGGCCCAGAGCACTGAGAAGCTCCCGTACAGTTTCTGGAGCACCTTTGAGGACCTGCTTTGAGATAAGATAAAGAGACAATTTACAAAAAAGCCAGAGTGGTCCTTCAACATCTGCTTCTGTGGGCAAGGTCATACCTCTTTCTCCCAGCTGTAGCCTCGATCTCCATGCTTGGAAGGGCCATTTCCAAAATTAACCCTGTGGCTAACGACTGAAGGGCCTCTCTGCTCTGAGGGGAAAAAGTCCACTTCACTGAGGGATTTGGCAATTTGCAAAGCAGTGAGCGAGTTGTCCCCTGTCTGCTGCTTGGCAATGATCCAGGGAGCAGAAGCCTGACAGTTTGCCAGGTGAGCTGGGATGTAGGGGAGAGCTGAGGGCAACTTTGCTGCTTGGATAGCATTGGTCATTGTTGGAAGAAGCTGATGTTGATCCCTTCTGTTTTTTTCCCTAATAATTGCAGAGTGATTCATATACAAACTCCGTGCACTGCTTTTCGTCTGTATGGAGTCCTGAACGTTTACTTTTCCTTGGTATTTTTCTCTGGATTGAGAAGCCTGTTCCTGGTACTGTGGGATGGCGTTGCATGACGGTTTAGGGATTGGAGATGGGTCTCGGGCTGGAAAAAGCTGGTAAGAGGAGTTAGCTTGGGATATTTGAAAGTCGCTTTGTGGCTGGGGCAGAATGCTCGGAATTTCAATTTCTGTAAAATCTGATCTGCGACAGGGTCTCCGGTCAAAGCCTTGACGGCCTGAGACTTTGGGGAGCTGCAGGGCTTCGTTACCAGACCAGATCACCTGGGGGTCCCTTGGCTTGGGCAGAGCTTCCTCCACCCTACGTGGAACTGATATACCTTCAAAGATGAAGTAAGCAGGGTTGGTGTAGCTGCTCGGTGTGATTTTAAGAGGAGCTCCAGAGGACCTGTAGTGAATATAAACGTATTGGATTTCACCAGTTGAACTGGTAATTTTATGATGTGTTCAGTTCTCATTAATGTTTTCCTCAAGATTCTAAAATGTGAATCACTTCTAACTTTGCATGCATTAAAAACAACACATTTTTTAAACATAAACCCAAACCATTCGAGGATTGAGCAAAGTTGTGTTTAGTTTATAGGGAGTTCTTAAAATAGCCTTGCATTTTTGTCCTACAGAGCCCAAATTGAGTCATTAGGAAATTAATATGATTTTAACAAAATGCAACAATGTGTTTGTAAGACCAAAATATCAATACAATGCACAGTTCCAACAGTCTAATTTTCTTTAGGATTGCTTTGTTTTACATTTCTTTAAGTTTTACACTGATGATGATGAAGTTCGAGACAAGAGCAGTCGGTGCTCATCATCTTTATTATGATTGGTGATTTTGTGTGTAACCAATCACCATTGAAGCCAGTCCGCAGCCCTTTTTCAGAGCCCAAAAATGCCTATTTTTCCTCACTTGATCCTGAACTGTTAAAATCCTTATTTTGCCACCCAAAATGTAGCTTTGAGGGGTTTTTTTCTTGCGGGACTTCTTACTCCTCTTAAAATTTCTGGTTGTATGCCGTCTAGTGAACTTAAACGGAGTGGTTAAGTCCCAAATCAAGAGCACACAACCAGTTCCTTTTACCTCTGTCAATGTTCCGGTCTGGGTGGAAAAACAGCTCTATGTATCAATGATTTTGATGTAAGAGGAGGGTATGAGATTATTTAGCTTTTACAAGATTGTTTAGCGTGTAAAAAAAAAATCACTGAGAGCTGGAGGCTTTTTGTTGGATCACAATGGTGCTCATAATCACTGAGAGGTCCTTACCGAGTTACTTGGGTCCTTGTTGTTGCAGGAGACACGTGTATCCTCCCTGGACCTTTGGCATCTTTCTCAAGGCAGAAGGACTCTGAAAAAGTGAAGATTCGGGAATTGAAATTGGATTTTTAAATTAGCAACACTTCTTCAATGTCTCTGTGTTGCATGCAGGCAAAAGGCGATTTCCAGTGTGCAATAACACAGCATACTGGTGTTTGTGTGTGTCGGGCCTGACCTGGTGGCACAATACACAACTGTCCTGTTTCAGGATGCATCTGGTCATGGTCAGTCAATCAGGAGCCAAAAGAGGAAGTGGCCGATAGATTTCAGCAAGTGTAAAGCCAAACCAGGGATCATTGAGGAACCAAATAGAGGAAGCAATGTGAGACTCACAGGAGAGTCAAAGAAACCAGTGACAGTGGAGGAGAAGGTTTAGTGGGGAAGTGATAGTGCAAGCAAGGCAGAGATTCCGAAAGAGACGCTTTTAGCCAACCCACCATAGATCTTTGGGCGTGTAGATCGCCTGTCCTTGGGCACATGGACTCTGACCCGTCCTCGTATGGAGCCCATCTCCTCCCCTCTGTGACTCAAAAATGTCTCAAATCGCTCTGATGCACCGGCCAGTGAGCGTAGAGCCACACAGCACTCACCTATGGCAAAAAAAAAAGTGTTATCTTCATTTCTGAAGTTGGGCTTTGGGGATCTTCATCGAATAAAAGTCGTTTGATGCCAGTTATGGTTACATACAAATATTAAACATCAGTGGCTCAGGATATACACAACAATGATTGACAAACACCGGCTCTGTAATTCCTAAAGATTGCCTTGTTTATTAAATGCTAAAAAACTTCACAATGAGTACTACTGGAAACATTTAGCAAATTTTGTGACGGTTAAAAGAAAAGTTTTCACTGAATAACAAACTCCTTTTTTGTCTTACTACTGACCATATGACTCAAATCCATCACATGATTTGACTGACAACAGCAGGTGCTGGTCCTGAAGAAACTCCATGTCAGACGTAACTGGAAGCAGCTATGACAGACAAAAAAACAGCTTAACAAAAACACTAATAAAAGTCAGCTCTGTGGAGAAAAAAAAGCATTCGTCCCCTAAATTCTTTAGAGTTTGCTTCTGACCAGCCAGACTTTTACACAATCCTTTAAAGTCGTCTTTAGTGTCTTTCTTATGTTTCGTGCAGGTTTTTCAGAGTTGTAGTTCTTCAATTATAAAAATTGAAAAGATAACCCAGGTTTTCTTCACCAAACAAAAGAACTGAATCTTCTGCTGGTTATGAACAGCATCTGGAAAAAACCCAAACCTGAAACAGAACCTGAAAAATGTATCTTTACATCAAGCTGATCCATTTATTGTTGACTCACCAGGAATTGTCTCCATGAAGGGAGGTTGTCAAGAAGCATTTTTTAGACAAGAAACTAAGATAATTTTGAGGTATGTCAAATTAATTGCACAAAGACCTTGGCTGAAAATCCTTGAACCCAGGTGTAAAGAGTTATGCAGCCTCCCCAGAGCCCCAGCCTCACATTTAAAGAAAAGCTTTCGTTGTTTTTCCAATTGTTTAATTTTTACTGGATAACTTTCCCTGAATTATACTTAAGGAAATTATTTCAGTCTGCGTAGAAGAATAAAAGCCACAAATATATCAAATATTGTCTTTCGGGACTGTCAGAATTATTCAAACCTTTCCATAAGGCGTAGCACCTATTGGCAGACATTATCTTAAGAAATGATGGTTGACATAAGACTGTCGTGTAAAATGAACTAAACCCCTCACCTTTGGTAGTTGTTTAAAGGACCAGCCAAGTTTGAGAAACCTTGGAACATCACAGCCCTGCGAATCATTCTCACTGGAGCGCCGCGTCTCTGCAAAGCGATAATAACTTTCTGCTCCTGAGCTCCACAACATTGCTTTACAAAATGCTTTTTAAATGAGCCTGTACCTTCGAGGCAGGAGGAATGAAACTCAATGAAGAACTTTGCCTTGCTTGCTGTCTTCACAATGGCCTCAATTCTTTCAAGCTCAATCCAGGCCCTCTCTGTGCTGGAATTTGACTCTGAAATTTGAATTTGAAATGAAAGAATAACAGTCTTTTACACTTAACGCGTGGATCCTGCCGTATTCCAGCAGTTAATGTCCAAAGAGTCACAACAATAAGAGCACCTGCTTTAGAGCTCCACTGGGACGTTACGCCGACTTGAAATGTTGCAAAAACAGGTGAATGATCACTTGTAAAGATGTCATCTGTGCAACCTAATAAAACACAAACAATGAAACTGGTATCTCTTTTATGACAAAAACCCTCACTTTCTGAAATCTGTGGTTGATAAGACAGGTTGATAAGACTATAACACATGTAAATGGATTACATCAACAGAGAAAATTATCAGAAGAAAGTGTCATTTGACCACTCGCGATGCAGTATGTTCTGGTATTTGCACTTTGACTCCACTAACCACAGAGAAGTAGATGATCCTCATTTGTTCTTCTGTGGCCAGTTTTGAAAGCAAAACTGGCAACATAATTTCGATTGAAATTCTTTATCAACGTCGACACCAAACCACAAGCCAGACTTTACTGCTCAACATGTGTTTTCCCAGAAAATTCCTTTTCAGTTGTTTATTTTTCTCAGAAATTCTCCAGCTCTCACCATATGTGCTGCAGGTGATGTGCGTCTCTGGGTAGGACTTCCACAGAATCCTGTCACACCATGATGGAACATTAACTCGCACCTGCAGAGAAGGAGTTTGCCATAACACAAATAATGTTCTGTGCATTTTCTATCAATATATCTACATCTCTCTTTCTCATACATACATATATATATATATACGGTAAAAGACAGAGTAGAAGACTGTGAAGGCTGCCTCATTCCTATTACGCCAGAGATTCCTGTTTTAGACAGGAGTTAACTCTTAACCTTCTATTTTAGGAGGTCAGAACAGCTGCTGTCAAAGTCACTTATCCCTACAGATTCCTGAAATAGGATTAGGTTACAAATTAATTATCTTAACAAGTGTATACTTGGAAACAACTAGTGGTGGCTCAGTGGTCTAGCCTCTGGCTTAGTGATTGTAAGATCAGAGGATCAAAGATCATGTGGGAACTCATGGGCCTTTCAGAAACCGATTTTCACCCAGCCTCAGCTGGTCCGCATATTCCCTATCAAATTAAAAATGTGACCTTTATTGTGCTTAATGTTTCTCAGACAGAACTGATCCTTTGTATCCAGGATCTTTTCCTGTTGATTGCATCCTACCACGGGCATGCTCTGTATTAAATATCTCTCAACACTCAAGTGCAATAAAATAAAATAAAAATAGCAGGCTAACAAAGTGATTTTAAAAAAGATGATGAAGTTACAAAGCAGAAAAAGAAGCAATTTAACATGAGAGATGCTGTAATTCAGAATGCAGCTATTCAGCTGAAATGACATAGCTTGTAATCATCCAATTTGTCCAAAAATGTTTGGTAGCTGCTCAGTTATAACCCTCCTTTATTTTGGCATGCATCCTCTGTCCTGCACCTGAAAGAACTGTTTGATCCATCATTTCATTTCTGATGTGCTTTTGTGTTACAGGACAAGACTCACCCCCGATGTCTTGTATTTCTGCCACAAATAGCAGTCTCGAGAGCCCCTTTCATACCGATAAGTGGGTGGAAAAGTGATCTTCTCTTCCTCTTCACCCCAGCAAATGAGGAGAGGAAAGTGAAATAAAAGCATGCAAAACTGAACTGACAGGACACATTCATGTTATTTACTTTTATGTCATTGGTGTGAATCTTGAAACTCACTGAAACTGAGAAAGGCTTTCCTCTTGTGTCTTTCTCGGGTAAGCTGGTCTGCGCACATGAGCTCTTCGAATTCTCTTTTGGACACATGTTTCAGGATGTCCTGCAGTTTTGGAGAAAGGGGCAGAGCCAGGGTATGACGCAGACACAACAAGCTCATCAGAGAAAACAGAAAGCCAAGAACGAAAGCCGTCAGTCTGACCTGTACGTCCAAGTCAAGCCGATAGTTGAGGTCTCCGCACCAGAAAAGGTGGGTGAAGCGCAAGCTGATGTCAAAGGCAGCAAGATGTTTGTCACCCAGAGAGAGCATTCTGAGGATGTCAACAAAGCTCTGGTTCCTCCTGGAATGCATCGTGAAATAGAAACCAATGTTTAATGTTAACATAATAAAAGGAAGTAAAAGTCAATATATTTGTCCTTCATGAAACACAACGTACCTCAATACTTTCTCACTTCCAGACGTCAGGTGGCAGTTGACAAACCCAAAAGATGTTCCACTGAATTGGAGGGACACCCCCACAGCTCCTTTGTTTCCTGAAGCAACAGAGACAGTGAACCTCAGAGGTTAATACAACACATTTTGTTTTTGTTAAACGTGAAATTACATTTTGAGCCGTCAGCCGTGGTAATGTACATAGTCTCAGTTTTCTTTTGCATTCAGCTGTGACTGCAGACATGCAAGCAGACAGGCATACCCAGTGTGTTTCCCAAGCCAGTCTTCACGCTGGCTGAATTCACATGGCTGATGCGACCCTCGTGCTCAGGCCTCACGAACACAGCCAGCCTCATATTCCAAAGGGATTGCACTGCCACCTACAGGACAGCAAGGCACATTGCAAAAAAATAGTTTTGACCCAGTCAATGACTTATTTCATAGGAAAATTAAACTTCTTCCTTTAGGACATTATTCCAAAAAAGCTCAAAATGAATTAATTAATTTAAAAAAAATAACTCAAAGCTTCAGAGTGATAGGTTCTGTTTAAGATTTGTGGATAAGAGAACTGCAAATCAGATCAAATAATATAATGGATGACATAAAGGCAACTGCAAACTGATTGTAAAAGAGGATAAATGCTAACAAATTTTAATTCTAATTTTGGCAAAATAGGTCATTTGAAACATGCTATCATGATATCATGCTATTTGTATTACCATCAATCTGAAATAAACTCGCATTTAGCAGAACTAAAAAAAAGACCAATTAAAATAGTAGCAAATTACTCTGATCATAAGACTTTTGAGATTCTGTGAAGCTCATTCAGGAGCCACAATCTTTACACTTTTTGCAGTAATATCCAAGATATAGATTTTTTTTTCTGTTAAAGTCGATAAGTGGTGAAATATCACTGTGAGCAAAAAATAATGTGGACAAATTAAGTTTAGATAAAAATAAGAGGATTACTTGTTTAAATTCGATCTGAGTATAGGAGCGAAGGGTTGCTTTAATATGTTCAGTCCACTCTCTCTCGCCCTGAGGATTTTCTTGAGTCCCAAAGGCGTAGATGTCGTGAGGGAGAAAAGCTGTCGACTCGTCGGGGGTGTGTCCCAATCCACAGCAGGTCACCCAAGACTGCAGGCTTCGAGGAGGAGGAGAGCCCCCTTAATGCACAAAAAACAATTCAACAGGTCAAATTAAATTAATCTAACTACTCTTATAAAACACAACAGTTAGCTTTGTGTTGGCCGACTGTGTAAATGACTGTCAGCATGTAAACAGTTACCCATATTCCAGGTGCCAACAAACACAGAGATCACGTCGGGTTCACTCCGCTGAGAGTGCCTTGATTTCATCAGCAGAAGGAGTTGGCAGAATGAGTCACATTTCTGAAAGGGGTGAAAGTGAGTTAAGGAGGGGGAATAGGGGATTTCATTGAGTGCTGGATCTTAATATCTTACCCGTGCACTCTCAAACGTCATCTCCTGTGGTGTGTTCTGATGACTGTCAACCACCATTCGTACCTTAGCTGGACTGCTCTGAAACTTGACCACCTGTAGGACTAATACAATTGGATTTAATAGACAAATTGCGCATACGAGGCATCACACCATGCGTGTACCATGTAGTGAAACGTTTGAGGTGAATGCTTTCTTACTTCTTTCATGTGTGACCCGCTCAACACCGAACGAACTAAACTTCCTATCAAAAAGCAGCAATCCCGTGTCCACGTCCACAGACACGGTTTGTCTGCCATACCTCACTACCCTCACCTGTACGTGCAAAAAATAGACACAAAAAATTCATTAAGCCTTGCACGTTGTCAGAGATTGTCAGAGATTGTCATCTGATTGCTGTAATTCCGATAGGTGATCATCCCCTTCACCTGAAAAGTGTGGATAGGGAGCGGTCTGGTGGTCTTTACTGGTGTCACACCACAGGCTGGTGGTTCAGGAGGGGATGGGTTAGGCTGCACTGCCAAATTGTGATTGGTCACAGCCTCTTGTAAGGCTTTCAATACCTAGGAAATATAGAAATCAAGCAAAATATTACAAAGAAGTTTCTTTTCCCAATTTCTTTATGTTAAATCCAAATTATCAGTCAGTTTGAATACCACAGTTATCAAAGGTAACGGGAGTTTTACAGTACACCAAAAGTGATGGAGAAACTGTAGTAAGAAAAATGGAAATGCATTGGCTTACTTTGTCCCCCCCCCAATGTGAACTGCTTAATTCTTGTCATTTGGCAACTAGTGTCTGTTTTTATCTGATATATTCCAAATAGTTAATCCAAATGGCCATTATTAGATTAGGTCATTTTATGAGTCAATCACAGTGAACACACCTTTTTCTCCAGTGAAGAAAGGAGGCTGACCAAAGCCGATATTTTGGACAACAAGCTGTCTATCTCCATCTCTGGACCCTGGTTCCCCCCAAAAAAGACAAACATCACAGTGAGTGTCTCAGCACGAAAGAACACATCTATCCCTCACTGCACTTGCTATTTAGAAAAACTGCAGTTTTTCATGTTTTTATGAAAGATTAATGCATTTTTTTGTTTTGTTTTTTATTTATACCTGTGACTTGGAGGGCGTTAAAGAGCAGCTAGGATGGTCAAAGACCTTGGCCAAGGTTTCCAGACTTGAAAGAGTCTGATCAATCTCACTGTAGAATTGATCAATACAAAACTTTTAACCGTCACACGTTAACACACAAAATAAATGCATAAATGTTGTTGGAAATGGTCAACTATTAATCCTTTATCACAGTCTGTCACACAAGTTCAAAATGAAATAGTCAGTGTCTGTAAAATTACATTTGTTACTTCTAACGTGTAGACATGAACAGTTCTAACCTGTTCAAACCTTGGCAGGCTGCTCCAAGTGTGCGCTTGAGATGGGTTAAAGTTGTTGCCCCTTTGTGCACATTTTCAATGTCAAAAGGCAGCTCGCTGAAGAGGTAGTCACTGAGCAGAGCAATTACTTCACCTGCAGCACTGTGAATGAACAAAGCATCAAATTCAGACTGCAACATCTTAAAAATAAAACAATATTCAACAAGAAATATATTATATAGATATGACTCTTGCTTGGATTTAGGTCTAAATTAAAAAAACAGGGGGGAGGAAATGGGCGATCTTTCAAAAAATGAGTATATCAAGACTATTGAGGGCAATAGCCAACCACTGGCAGGAACTGTGGCAACACAGTTTATTAATAGGACAACAACTGTCACACAGAGTTTCACAAGTAGTCGATACGCTTCATTGCAAGCAGGTGCATATATGTCTATAACTAATATATGTCTATGAGAACTAAATAGTAATGAACACACCGATGTGCCACCACGCATAATTTTGTCAATCCATTATACAGTCAGGTGCATAAGGAAAGGTGCAGACAGATGTTGATCTAAGACCGTAAATAGCTGACGTGAAGACACGTATGCCCCCATTCAGGGTAGTTTTGCCAACTTTGATAAAGTCAAGTCAAATCAAAGTCAAATTATATTTACTTGGATGTATTCAACTCTTGCAGCTTCTCCAGGAATTGTGCATGAGGGGGCGATTTAGTTGGCGGTCCAGAGAAAGATACCATGTTGACCGAGACTGGAGCAGTAGGTGGCTTCTCATCGTCTGCATGAAAAAATGTTAAAGTTCAAAACTGACAGTTAACAGTGAGTACAGGTGCTGTGAGAGGAGGATCTTCAAGCTTTTATTTATTCATTAATTTATCTAAAGACTCATTTCAAGACCTGGTGCTGTTTTATACTGTGTATGAACCACATCAATTGTGAGTCTCTGCACATAGCTCAGTTTTTGTGGAATGAATGAGGACAGAGTGAGAAATGTCATGTTGTTGATCTGAGATAGTGCTTCTTTAGTTTCAATACCTGCTAGGTCCCAGAGCATTTTTTGTTTCATATCCTGATGCTTAAAACCTTCAAACATAAAATCGGGGCCCTTTCTTTTTCACATGACTTCAAAGTTTCTGGTGACCCACCTGAGCTCTCATCCCCTGAGTCTGTATCACGGGGAACGGGGTAGAGCAGAGGAGTGACCAGGCCTTTGTGGGGGTGCTGGTACCCCAACACCAAGTCCTCCAGTGTCCGGAAACAGTTCACCTGCACCCCCTGTGTTGTCTGAGAAAAATATACAGAGCAAAATAATTACATATATATTTTAAAGAGAGTATTGCATATACTCATATCTTACACATATGTGCATTTAAAAAAAACAATATTTCTTAGACTTCAATGAAAATAACAAAGAAATTTGTCAAGCTGTGAGTGAATGTTTCTTTCAGGAGCCACAACCTGTTTTCGAAATGCTGTTAAGCTGAACAAAGCAGAAGTATTTATTTGCATGGGTTGAAAATATCTCATTCTGCTGTGCTAAAAGGCACCCCAGAGGGCCTTAGAAAGTTCAGCCGAAAAAGGAAATCTGTCATCTCTGATGCCTACCTTCCTGATTATAAAAGCACTTGATTGTCTTGTTTCATTGAGGTCCAGCGCTCTCATTTACCCCTCAAAAAGCAAATGTTCTTTTGAAAAGAACTTTAAACTTTTCATCAAGAAGCACATAAAATCCTGCCCTAACTTCAAGCCTCAAATGGTACAGGCAGAAATGGAGATTTCATACTCAGAGCTACCATTCACATGAACCAATTCAACAAGGTCCACATTAGACCGCAATGCTGTGCGAGTTCTTTTCCTGTGCCCTCTTTTTAGACATCTTTGTTTTCATTTTGTGGCGGGAGAAACCGTTTTGTTGGCATGGGCTACCTGTCCGTTTTGCCAGGAACTCCTCAAATAGTATTTTTTTAACCGCAGCGATCTCTTGAAAAGCACTTTGAAACAAATGAAAAGGAATAAGAGAGAGAGCACGACAAAACTGGCCTCAACATATCTTCATGGCCTTCTTGGAAAAGTTAAAAGGCAAGCATGCGACTTGTGAGTTAGTGGAGCGAATCCAGTGGGGGAAAACACATACTGGAGGTTTATACTGATGGCGGTGGAAAAACAACTGAAATAGCAGCGACGGATAACATATTCAGTGGAAAGCAGAGGATCTGTCCGTGGCAGGCTTAAAAGCAAATGCAAGATAATTGGAATTAAACCTGACATTGAGCTTTACTTTTTTGGCATTTTCTGATGATTTTTTAGTTCTATGATTTTCCAATTTTGTTTATGTGCCATTCTGTGGTTGCATTCTTTGTGATTGTAAACCTCGTGTTTGTGTGGGTTTTTTATGTTCAAATAATTAGGTAATCTGCTGACTAAATGCTCCTCTGTTCTGGTTATCAAAAACAGGCTATATACCATCGTTTGCCCAAACTCTGCCACATCCAACAGACTCATTATGTCTAATACAAACACCCTTATACACACACAAAACATAAGAAAAGCCTTGAGTCAGTGACATAGTGTGTGGGTTGAGTAGGAATCTCTAAGACATAAAAACAATTTCTCCTCTGTGCCGCTGAGCTCATGCTGCAAGCATGCAGCCACATGGCAGATGCCATTCAAACAACAAAGTGGCTGCCCTAACAGTCTGTGCAGAGAGCAAACACAAACATGCTCCTGTTCTGCTAGCAACATGGAATAATAAACCATTGTTTCAGCCCTCTGACAGGCTGGGTGTCCCACTGGCTGGACATTTTGAGCCAAGGTTTGAGGCATCTGTTGGGTTTTTCTTTACTGAAGCGCCACTGTCTGTGTAGGGGGGCACGGGGAATACTCACCTGAACTGCTAGAAGACCATCTGCATCTGGAAGAATACGATACGTGTGAACATGACACTGGAACCTTTGGGAACCAAAGACAACTGTCATTAAGGACATTGCAGATTGTAGCAAAGCAAATATCCAAGTTATTCAAAAAATGTATTTACTAAACTGAATCTCATAACAGGGTTTGGCACATCATTGCTAATGCAGCCTGTTTTAATCAGCGCAAAGCCAAGACAGTTCCATCATCAGTCATCAGTACACAAAGACAAACAGCAGCCCCTGAACATGACATGAAAAAAGAAGAATCAGGAAACTGACTAAATGGCAAAACACTAGTGTGGGGGGACTAAAGACACCAAAAAAAGAATGATATACTGAGAGAAGAATGAAAGGAAAGAAGGAGCTCTGTGAGCAGCCAGGCTCAGCACTCAGGAATGCATCTGGCTTCAGCCGGCTAGTAGTCAGCGTAGTGCGGTCGCTGGAGTTCCCACCCACTTTCAGGGGCCCAAGGGATGAAAGAAGGGTAAGTGGGGAAACAGAGGGCCATAAGTTAGGGTTTGACTGGCTGAAATTGACTCTTCTGGACAGAGCAGTCAGGCTGATTAATAGTGTCTTCGCAGCCTGCTGGCAGACGGTGGTGCAGGTGATGGATGAGACAGGGTGAGAGAAGCTGCTGAAACAATTTACATAAGGGGAAATTTCACGAATGGACGTCAACTTAAATGTGTCTTCTTACACACGTTGGCTACGTTTCCAAAATTTCCCCAAAAATATTAACAGATTACGTTAAAGAATTAAATGTCACGAGAAAAAAAACAAGCACACTTCAGAGTGACTGAATTTGACAGGGAAAAATATGGCACACGCCTGATAAATAGTCAAATTTGTGTGTGAGTGCATGTGTGTGTGTATACTCACAGGAGGCACAGTGCATAGGCTCCAGGCACAGACTCACTGTCTCTGACTAGGTAGCTGCCATCCCTCCCTGCCCGTGCCAGCAGGTCCTCTGCGTGCACACGGCTGATATCACGATGATACCATGATGCAGAAGCCATGGCATTTAACATTCAAAGATATGTTCATAAGAGTAATCCACATGAGGTGACGGACTTAACACAAACATAAAAGTTTACTGTGTCAGATCTGCACAGATGACATTGTGCTAGTGGCCTGCTCCTCCAGTCAGCAGCATCAGAGTGTGCCGTGTGGTCTATGAGTGTTTAAAGCTTCCCCATAGTCCCCAATGTCATGACCAAAGTGTCAAACCCTATCAGCTACCACTTCCTGGGTCCCTGCTGGCTGCTTCTGGGTCACCCATTCTGTTGCACAGAGGGACGAGAGAAGCCGCATCCAGCTGATTCTGAGGATATTCCACTCTCACAGCTCTCCGTCAGAGTCGTCAGCAGAGGATCCAGTCCACCATTCTTGTAATATCTTTGCATAGAAATCCACCGTCTCCGTTTTAAATTGCGAGTCGCTGCACCCAGGTGGGTGTGTTGATCCAACAAACATAGACCATCAGCAGAGAATGAAGCAGCCAGCCCTGAGGCAATGACGTTGCCTCAGGCTTAACCACAAACACAGGCCCTCCTCTTGTCCCAAAACAAAAGCCCAACATGCAAACAACAGGAAAAGAAGAACCAAGAATGGCAAAACAAACTAAAGGCGCCACACACACACAGCACCCACACGCTCACACACGTACGCGGCAGAGATAGAAACATACCAGATGGAACTCGGTCAGCACTAAAACCAGACAGGCATGCAACAGAAACCAGACTAATTCAAATGATTTCCCAGCTCTGTTGCCATATAAGGGAAAAGAAACACCCTCCAATAGGTTCAGTTGATGGCTGCAGTTGTCTTTGCTTTTTCCAAACCCAGATTCCATTTAGAGTATGTCTGGAGGAAAGCAGGCTACCCCAGGGGTCTTACTTTCATGCTGGATGTCTGAGAGCCAGAGTGTGTGTCTTGTTAGAAGGGTCCCATTTGCACTGGCGTGATCTCCAGCGGTTCTACAGAGAGCTGTCAGAACAGAGGGAGGGAGCAGAGACACGGAGGACAACCCAGTCAGAGCGCAGGGCAGACAGAGGAAGTGACTCCACATTCCAGATGGCGGACATAACCAGGAGAATTCTTGTGAGGGGCTCAACTACACCACCGGTGTGTGAAACAGCAGAGCACTTCCTTTTTCTCCCTCTTTCCTCAAGTCTGTTTGTCTTCTTCTTCCTTCTGCCTCCTTCCTGCCTCTTTCAGCAAGTTACACAGCAAAATAACACACATTTTTTACACACTGAGGATTTTTTCTGGGCTCATCCTAAGTTTTTCTTTATTCTCAAGAAGATTTATCTACGCACAGTAAATCTTCTGGTGGGCATGTTTGCTCTGACTCTTTCTCCGGTCTTAGCCGCTTTCTTTCTTGTCACCCACCCTTCCCTTCCGCTATAACTCAGTCCTTCCCTCTGAGCAAAACAGTGTGCATATGGTTATGATCATCCCCAACTTTCTTATTTTTGCACTCGCAGTACATCGCCCAACAGTCGCCCCTCCCACGCCCCGCCCCCTCCATTAGCTGGAGAATAAAACTGTGGGAAGCTGTTCAGTCCCACATTTACTGCTCTGCCTCTCACTACTCAGCAGAAATGTGCCGACCACCAACCACAAAGCCCATAAAACAAATAGACACAAGTCTATCCCAATCTGATGAGGCATCTTTTTAAGCCTCTATCTATAATCGCTTCTTTTTCTTTGGTGATTTGCTCACACGATTATGCATAAAAAATGTAACGAATTTCAGTGAAGCTTTGCAGCAGCACTTGGTACTGCAGTTTTACACTGTATTTGTCATAAATGGATGATGAGTGTGCCATTAGTTTAACTGGTATCTAGAACATCTGACAAACAAGGGATTCCCAAAATTATATAGTTCATACTGTATAAGTGACAGATGTTACATTTACAAATACTTAGAGGAATGAAGAGGCAGTAGGTTGGAGAAATGAATGTGAGACCCATTCAACAGGGAGAGAGAACATTTTTTAAGCAAATTCATCTTTTTTTATATCCTAATTCAGTTACAGCATCAGCTGGTACAAGTTAATGCCCCAGCTGCTGTAAGCGGCAGAAATTCTGTAAAAAAAAAAAAAAATCCTGTTTTAGTCTCAAAACTCTTCTATTCATAAGCCAAACCAGCACTGTGGAAAAAATACAGTCCACCAAAACATCTTTGTTAAAGGTCACGCAGACAACCTCTGACACTGCTCACCATTGGTCAAAGGCTGTGCTAATTGGCTCAACGTTGGTTGTGACAGAGTTTCTGTTAAGAGCAAACACTGCATCACTGTCTTAATTTAGCAACGCACTGAAGACCATGTTGTTAAGAAGTGATAATACCACGGTGTTCTAATGCACTGGGACAAGACAGCAGTCCCTTTGAGAGACAATGCTGGATGTCTATATAAAACTCTTTCCTAAAGTGGCACCAGATTAACTGTAAGGGGCTTAGGGGACTGTGTGTTGCTCCTCGCAGCCCAAACAAGAAAAAAAAAGTCAGTGTCACATAGTTCACCGAAGAGAAAGGAGAATATAACCAAACAAAATTGAATAAACTCAGTCTAGTAGCTGCTAATAAACCTTAAAGCTGACTATTTAATGCTAGACAGAGCAGGATTTGGCATTGTGGAAGAATACAGCTCTATACAACGAGAGTGAATGGCTTTTCAGATTAGCAATGGTTGGTGATGTTATGCTAAGAAAGACCAATGATTGCACAGATAATGTTGAACTCTGAAAAGTCAAGATCATTTCCAGAAGGAAACGCTCACAGAATTGCTTTAAAGACAAATAGAAATCCTGTTTAGTTGTTGTTAACCCTTCATTTTAATTCTATTTTTCAGCTACACTTGTAGATATATACGACCTTAACGGAAAAGCAATGTTAAAAAACTCCATTTTTGTCCTCGAAAAACATCTCATGCATGGTATGAAGTTTTCAAACCTGTCTGAACATGATGGATTTGTGTGAAACCTAAAGCGATTAGTAGATTCTAATGAATACAAATAAACTCTGGAGACCATCATCACTATCTGTAATTGAGAAAACCTCTTTGGCAAATAAATTAATAAAATACATATCATCTAAAACAATAAAGAAATTTAACCTCCATGCCAAACAGGCAAATAATTGCATCTTTATTTCTGAAAGAGACAGATAGTTTGGCCATTGGATGAAAAACTTTTGGCCTTTCAGTTCTGCAATGCAAGCTTTCTGAAGAGCACACTAACGTATTTTGATTAAAATAACTTTATTAAGAGATTACACTCTTTACTGATGATCCGGCAGTATAATTCACACCACTGCTGTATCCTCCGGGCAGCTCTAAGAAGATCTCAAACCATGTCCCAATTTGACACTTTAAGTGAGGACACCAGTGACATACACCAATCTGATTCATTATCCTTAACCCCAAAGGTGTGACAATCCATCCAAAATACCTTCCTCCATTAATCAATCAATTATTCTTATCTGACGAAATTAGAGAATCCTGCCTCAATCCCTACTGTGGATTTACCAACAGTTGTGCACCAAATCAGAGACCAGCAGGTTTAAAGATCACAGCTAATAAATGCAGTTGCTTAGGCCGGCCAATCCAAAGTCTCCTTTTCAAATTTGCCAGTCTAGTTTTACAGATTTTGAATTAACACACTTGTGTAGTTTTAGACAACTTCTAACAACCCTGCTCAGTTATAACCGTGTAATGCAGTCTTTTGAGCAACATTTTTACCATTAAATGATTAAAAAGGTCTCAGATGCAAAACATTTCAGAAACGATATGTTTTAAGTATGATATTTATGGCATTATAGGGTAAAAGTGTCACTTTTTACAAACAAGTCATACATCCGTAAGGTAACAACACACTCATAGCTTTTGCTAGTAGAGAAACTGAACACTACGAAAATGTTTCAGGACAACTCAGAGATTCTAGCCTCCAAAGCCCCCAGATGCTAATCTAATGGGATCAGATGGCATCTGCAGTAATCAAGTCCGATACTCAAATCCCCATTGGGCCCAAATGATCTATTACTACCTTTTCAATATCACACTCCTCACACCTAAAGACAAGGCTTTAAGTTATGTGGGTGGGTATGTAACTCCAGTGGCTGATCAGTGTACAGTAAATGAGGAAATGCTCTTAAAAAAAATCTTCTCTAAAAAAAATCTTCTCCAACTTTTCTATGGTGTTGACAATGTTTTCTGCAGGCATGCTTTGTGTAAAGAGTTTATACCATTGGCATTTGCCTTTTGATTTAACCATTGTTCCAACATTGCCATGGTTCAGAAGTTGTATTTTCTTAAGAATCAGCCAACAGGACACATTATATTCTGGTCCAATATTCTGATGGCCAAAAAAAAACTTTCTTTGTAAGAGGAAGGAAACAGTGTCAAAAGTTAAAGTTATTGAAGTAGATGTCAAGGCCTGACAGGATATTAGGCTTAAACAATGGAACCAAATGGCAAGATGATTTTTATCATCACATTGATTCGGTTGTTATAAATCCTTGTTACTTGCACAACAGTGAGTCAGGAGGTCACTTTAGATTTCTATAAACCGTCCATGAGCACAGATTACATCAGGCTTGGTCGAGCAACCATCTGTCCTCCTGGCTAACACAACTCAAAATCCATCTAATACCACTCTGCTCCAGTCTAAGCTTTCAGAAGAGCAGAAGGAAGTCCTTTAAGTCCATTCACAACACAATCTTCTAGTTTTTTCTAATGGTATATTGAAATAGTTTCACGTTAACCAGCAAATAAGTTTCTCGATAAATTGTTTGTGTAAACTGCTGTAATAATACTGGGATCAATCATTGAAATATTTGATAATAACATATTTGAAAAATGAATCGATAAGTAAAAAGTAATTGGAAAGTTTATGCTTTTAAGTCTAAATCAAGCTTTTGGATATCAAAAATGGGGTTCTGAAGGAACCTGGTTTGGATGGAACTACGTCAAAGCGGTTTAGATGCGTTTAGCTTGTGTTTAGCTTGTGTTTGTCTGTCTGCCGGCTGTCTGTCTGATGACAGTTTTGTTTGTCTGTGGATCCATTTTGTCAAAGATCAAAAGGTCACAAATTGCAATAATAAATAAAAATTGATGTACAGATAACTATGACATTGTTAAGACATTGTTATGATCTAAACATTACAACCAACAGGAAACAGATTCACCGACAATGTTATTCATATGAATATGCACAACAAACGTCTGAGATCAAAACATAAAAACCAAGTAATCACCAGATTACTTTTACTATATGGCATATTTTGATGTCAGCAACAGTTCCAAGTCCAAAACTCAGTGAAGCTCTGAGGTTATCTTCAAGTCACATACACAGCATTATTTTTAACCATCCCGTGGACCAAAACAGTAGAGTTATAATGAATTAATCAGATTTCCCCAAAACGGCCGTCCCTCTGACTGCATAATCTGAAGGGAGGACTCCTAGGTTGGCAGGGGGGTGTCATCGTATAAAAGCAAACAAGGAGGCAGAGATTGGCACTCGTTCTCCATCAACAGGAGCAGATTAGACAAGGCAACAGAGAAAACACACCAAGCGAGCTGAGGGCACGGTAAGAGAGACGTTTTTATCGATATTCACTCACAGTATCCTAGACTTAGTTTACAAAACCTAAAACTTAGAAAACTGATCCAATTATTGCACAGCTGAACAATCTGGCTGAACTGGTTGTTATCACACAGGAATTGTAAACCAAAATTGGTAAAACTGGTTTTACAAACCGAAAATGCATCGATAATAATCACAGTAATTATGACGGAAGCATTACAACTTAACAGTCACGTTTCAGAAAGAAACCATTCTGAAAATCCCAACCGTGCTGGTATCAAAATGCAAAGCGTCACCAATTAATCATTTATTTCACCAGCAAAAGTACTATGGCTGTCCATTGTCAACTTCTTTTCTCAGATAAAACTCCTATTTTCTTTTTTCAGACTGGATCAAAAACTGCTGTCATGTCAAAGTATGTATACATTTTTTTATTTTGACTACAGTTATCAGCAACGCCCTGATTTAATAGCTGATTTAGGTTATTAGTGTCAAAGTAGATCACTCCATCCATGTAATGCGACATGATTACAACATAGGAAATGAGTTAACTGTTTAACATCACTGTCACACTATCTAAGAACGATTCCACTAATGTGGAATTCTGATCACAGAATTCCACATTTAAGGCTGCAACTGCTTTGCTTGTACAGAAATGGATGCATTGTCATTCATTTAATGAAAGAAAATCAGCACATCCACAGATCAGAGGGATAAGTCCCTCACAATAAAAAAAGCAGAGGATCTTAAATGCAGCATTCTGACCTCGTTGGCGCCCCACTAACACTTGCTTTATTTGGCAATTTTCAATCATTTATCCAGGACATAGATAAACCCTTATTAAGATGGATTGTGTGGATTTAATCTTGCAATGCAGATTTACAAGACAAAGGAAAGGATTAAACAGGATTACTTGGCAAACACCTGAAAGAGGCAAACACCACCAAGGATTACGTGTTTGTTTACGGCCCAAACGCAGAGCGAGGGGATTCCACTTCCTGCACAGCACTCCAGGGACCTCTTTGCATTTTGGCACAAAACTTGACGGGATGACAATCATTCCTTATATATAATTATATATATCATTACGTTTTCTGAGATTATATCATGGTGTCAAATGTTACTTAAACAAGTTATTTGAATCAGAATCAGAATCAGCATTACTTTATTAATCCCTTGTGGGAAATTGTTTTCCTGCAGTACACCCGTTTACAGAAAATAATCAAATAAACTTTACAATCAACAATATTGACAGAGTAAAAGTAGATATTCTCCCTGAATCAAGTATAATATAGAATTAGAAAATCATCTGCATGGCGTTCCCTTATTACACGGAAATTCTTGTGCCATCCCACTTGGACAATGAACATTTTGTGTCATCTCATAATTTTAGAGGCTTGCGCTGTCGAAAGTTTTAAATAAAAATCTGATTCAATCTCTCTGTTCTCTATTTTTAGAGTTTTCAAGAAGACCAGCGGGAATGGAACTGTAAGTGGCCTCTACATAATGTAATCATTACAGGGCAGCCCTTTGGCACAGGGTGGAGTGTGATTTGCAAGCTGTTTTTCCAACTCCCTGAAATAGCTTGTGGAGTTTTACAATCTTGTTGGAGCAGTAACCACCATTCTCCATTTCTCTTAGATTGCCCTGTACTTGGGGAAGAGGGACTTTGTGGACAATGTGGATTCTGTGGAAGTAGTCGGTGCGTAGGCAAACTTTATAAGCACACGTGAAGATTCTTACCAAATTAAATTAAGTTGACTGGTTTCTCTTTTTGTAGATGGAGTAGTTAAAGTGGATCCCTCTGGTCTTGATGGGAGAAAAGGTACTCTACTCTTGTGCACAGAAAGAACAAATATAAGTGCCAAATTGTAGTGACAGAAACTAATGTTCAATCATTTAATTTCCCTTTGCAGTGTATGTCTACCTCGCCTGTGCCTTCCGCTATGGCAGTGATGACTTGGACATTATTGGACTTTCATTCCGGAGAGACATCTGGTTACAGCGAGTCCAGGTGTACCCAGCCACAAATGCGGGTGGACCTAAGACGCCAATGCAGGAGTCCCTCATGAAAAAAGTTGGGGAGCAAGGATGTCCATTTTCCTTCCAGGTGACACAATCTCTGCTAATAGCATTAAAAGGGCTTCTGTTCTTCTACCCAACATTACCTCTAATCAGTCCCAGATCACATTTTCATCCATTTTTTTACATCCATTTTAGATGCCAGCAAATCTGCCATGCTCAGTCTCCTTGCAGCCTGGGCCAGGTGATGCAGGCAAGGTACAAAAGGGGTTTATTTAACCATTAATTCTATTTCATTGCTGCACATTATGTTCATGTTTGACTCATTAACCCATCCTGTCTTCATACTGTGGCAGGCGTGTGGTGTGGACTTTGAGGTCAAAGCATACATTGCTAATGCACCTGACAATGGAGAAGAAGTCATCGAAAAAAAGTAAGTCAGCTCAGAGCCACATTTGCTGCCTTTCGGAAGCTGCCAACCTCATATTGCTTTATTAAAGAGAAGCACAATGAAGGAACGCCGGGAGGCCCAAGTTTGACTCTTTTTTTATGTCTTCTTTTTTTTCGCAGGGACACATGCCGCCTGATGATTAGAAAAATACAATTTGCTCCAGTTAACAACAAGGCGGGACCCAAGGCTGAAATATCTAAGCAGTTCATGATGAGCGACAAGCCAGTTCATGTGGAGGCCTCCCTTGAAAAAGAGGTACACTGAAGTCGACCTTCAGGGGAAACGATTTGCTCCCGCTGAATGACTAAAACCTAATTCTCTTCTTTTTTAGACTTACTACCATGGAGATCCTATCACTGTCAAAGTAAAAATAAACAATGAAACGACCAAGACTGTGAAGAAAATCAGAATTGCAGGTATGAAGGACACAGATGGAAGAGAGATTTAACTGAATTCTTTGTATATTAAGCTTCTTATATTAAGCTTTTTATTCATTTATCCTTTTTCTAGTGGAGCAGTTAACAAGTGTTGTGCTCTACTCATCTGACACTTACACCAAGGAGGTCTGCTCTCAGGAGTTTGGGTAAGGAATTCTGAATCGAGCAAGCCTTCTAAAGGACATTAACCAACAGAATTCAAATTATTTCTACAGGATCTAATTTACGATGTGAAATATGTAAAAAATTAAACACACTGAACGTATAAACCAATCTTCACATTTCAATCTCTTCTCTATATACTTTAAAGCTATAAATGAGAGCTATTCTTATGTATTATTACATTTAAATCGCTAATTCAAGTTAAAACTGCTTCTTTCCTGCGGTACACAGAGAGACAGTTGCTGCCAACGCTACACTTGAGAAATCCTTCCAAGTTACACCTCTGCTATCCAGCAACAAGGAGAAGAGAGGTATTTCAGTTGATGGGCGGCTAAAAGATGAAGACACAAACTTGGCATCCACAACACTGTAAGACAATCTACTTTCTCTCCAACCAAAGAGCTTACAGTGAGAAGTTCTCATCCTCTTAATGAGTGGCAGTGATGCAGCTATATTGTGTCATCCACTTACAGTGTCTTAAATCAAATCCTAAAGCTCTGGGAGGTAAACTATTTCTGTCTCCTTGCAGGAGTCAGGCAGATAAGGAGATGCAGGGAATACTTATATCCTACAAAGTCAAGGTTGCCGTAACGGTGTCTGGCGGAGGGTAAGGCTTCACTGAAGAGAATATAATGATCAATAACACTTTTATATTTGGTGAGAAGTCTTGCAGATGTAGCCCTGGTCTTGTTGCTTCCCCACTTTCATCCTGTCTCTCTCTCTCTCTCTCTGACCAAAGCCTTCTGGGTGGCCTGACAGGAAGGTAAACATTTCCCTTCATTTTTATGTGCCATTTCTGTGAACAACACTCAATTCATTATAGCTTATTAAAAAAAACTATATCTTTCCAGTGATGTGATGTTGGAGATTCCTTTGATTCTGATGTCCCCAAAACCTGCAGGTTGGTGGATTGTTTTGTATACATTTTACATTAACAATTTTCTTTGTAATAACACAATCATTTGAGAAATAAAATTTCCTGTGGTTAATCTGACCATTGTTTTACCTTTTTGACAATTTACTGCATGTCATTGACGTCTGTCGAGTAGAAGTGTAAGTATAAGTATTATAAAAAGCCTTTCTTGCAAAGACTTATCTGTGTTGATAGTGACATGCTGCTGATATTTCTTCTAATTTGTGATTGTGTGCTTTATGAACCACAGCACATTGGAATAAAAGCCCCTTTAGTTCAGGTGAGGTAAACTCAGATTCAGTACATGTTAATGGGTGGCTTTTTTAAGGGCTATTGTCATTTCTTTCCCCCCCACACCCTTTCAGTCCAAATGATAAAAATAAGTCAATGTTACAGTGAATTGATGTGAGACCCCTGATTCAGAGCTCCTTCCACCTTGTTGCATTGGTGTGAAATGTTACATGTTTACCTGTTTTCCCAGTCTATAAACTCATAACTTTGATGGTCATCCTGTAGCACTGATAGCAGCATGTATGCAGATTTGGGGAGTTTTCAAGTAGTTCTTACATCATTCGTTAAATAAACTGCCCAAATTATGTATTCATATCAAATAAGTATACTTGTATAAAAGATATATTAAAAAGCATACTATCTGTTCTGTTTATTGCAGCATTCAAATTCGACAGACAAAAGCTCCATACCTTATCGTTTGATGTTTGTCTATTTCGTCCACAGAACCGACATCACAGTTGAAGGTTAAAACAAGGGAAACCATCTCTGATGAAGAATACAGAACACAAAGGAACTCAACACCTACACATGTCATACAACTAAAGCGTTCTTATTCCCACTGTAAATATGCATTTTTATTGTAAATCACAATGAGAGTTCTATCAAAACTGTGTGTGACATTTGCTGGAAGGCCACTGTAGCATAATTTAGAACCATGTATGTGCATCTATCAAAGGAAACCTCCCACTGTTTGGAGTAGATCTTTCTGCCAATTCAATCAATTGAAATTGCAGACCTTAATTTATGCTTAGTATTTACTGCTTTGTCATTAGATTAATTCAAACATGAAGAATGAACCTCCAGTTGTAGGATGTATATGGTAAAAAATGCCACTTTAAAAAGATTTAATAAACTGTCCCCTCCATTACTCATTTGTTTCTGTCAATCTACTCTGTATTTTTGTCTGACATTGTGATTTTGCACTCCACCATGAAATCTTCACATCAAACTGCTAAATTAAAAAAAAGATTGTTTTGTTTTTAGTGTTAATTGAGCAACATTGTGGAGCCTCCTTTCAGCTCTTTACATTTTACTTACAAAGAGCCAGACATTGTTTTCCTTTCAAAGTGTTGAAGCAGAGATAAGATAGACTTGTGTCAGCCTTCAACAAAGACAATATCTTTTGTGCATTTATGCAGCCTGTCATAAAGATACTACATGTTTATTTATTTGGCTCAATATGGATATGGCAAAGATAACAAACACCTTGACAGATATAAAATAGCATTTCTCCAGCAACAATAAGATTAAAATGAGCTATTATCAAAAAAGTATTTTAAAAAGAAATGTATATTCCTCATAAAAATCCGAAGAAATTGGACCAGTGGAGGAGAAAAGAAAAAGTGCAGGAGTCAGGAGATGAACAATACCTGAAAGTGACATCCTAGAAATGCAGGTCCGTCCTTTGGCTAAATCCTGAAGTCTCACCAGCAATAATCGTCATTGGGTGTCTGATAAAAAGGCATGCTTAAAAGACAAAAAGAGAGACAAGGCACAATTTATAGAGGGATTGATCCTAACCAGAGCAAAATCTCTCCATTGCTGGATTTGCATCCTTGCAGCCATAATAAATAATGGCTTTCAAGATCACATTAGAGTCGTAAAAATATGTTTTCATTTATGTTGAGTGGATTTAAATAAACAACTGAACATGTGTCTGGTTTTCTTGAATATATGGAGAGAAAAAAAGGATGGATCCAATGACTCTGATTTATGGATTTGTGCATCATCTCGTCAATTGTGGTTTCTTTACATCTGCAATACACATTTTTCTTCACTCATTCGTTAGCAAAGCAAATACTGAAACAATGTCCACTCAGATAACAGGGAAATCAAACACTTGCCTGATATTAAGACATCAATGTTACTGTAAAGAACTGAGTGAAACTGTACTTTCTAAGAGTTGCAAAATAAAACATTAAGTCCAAATGAAAATACGGGAACTAAGGTAACTTTCCAACTTTTTTGTTTCCAGAGGACTGCCTCTTGGTTGCGCTATTTCACTACAGTCTGTTAAAGAAAACAAAAGCGCTGGCTAGTGCTCGATAAAGATAGTCGACTTGGTCTTCTTCGGTCTAGACGTCACATCATTAGCCAAGTCAGCTAGTTTAGCTAGATATTTTAAACAAAATGTCAACCACGACCGGCGGCGGAGAGTTTGGCAATCCTTTACGGAAGTTCAAGCTCGTATTTTTGGGCGAACAGAGTGGTAAGCCCGGCATTATCTCTTTCAAGCAAATGTTGGCGTAGTTCGATGTGTAGAAATGTTACAAGAAGTGTCAAGCTAACTAGCTCATCCCGTTAGCTCACTATTGCTCATCAAGTTCCAGCTGGAACTAAGACTTGTAGAGATACAAACAAAGCCTTTACGATTTCTGTGTAGAATCATATCTTTGTTAAAGAAGGAATAATAACGACTTCGCTCATACCTTATTCCATTCTTTTTCTTTTTTTTACTACAGTGATGATGTCATCTGGTAGCTAGCGTTAGCTGGCGGTGTGTAGCTAAGGTTCTTATTATTGCCTACTGCTTGGAGAAACCTAAAATTAAATTGTTGAATGGCATGAGTAAACGGATATATTCAGTGTATTTTGCTTCGCACTTAAATTAACGAACTCTGTTATTCAGGCTCATAGTTTATGGTGCACCATCCCACCAGCGTAATCATAGCTAAACGTTACTAGCATTTGTCACTTAAATCTGAAAAAATTAACTTATATTGGCGTCCACAGCCCACATGAAACCTGGGCGTGGTTGCCATACATCTAACAAACCACGCAACATATTTCTTAGAAGAAGGCGTCGTATACGTTAAAGGGCTGAGCTCTACTATCCTAATTTGTCATTGTAGCATCGAGCTAGTGGCTAGCTGGCAGCATCCTGCAGAGCCACGTCGGCCACTGAGTCCAGACCAGACGGCCCTTTTCTCTCATCAGCTGTGTTCATCCTCGGGGGCTAAAAGCGTCAACCGAGACGGTGCTTGAAGGATGTTTTGTACGGAATGATAGTTTGCGGCGTTGGCATCATGGGCCAAATGTCAGAAGTCGAAGCGTTTAAATTTTCTCAAATTGTGTGGCTCCACCCTCACTGCCAGCTCAGCGTGTGGGTTCAGCAGTCCATTCTGCATCAGGGGGGGACGCAGCCTACTCCATGTGTGATGTCACAGGCTCTTATGTTTATGTTTTTTTAATCTTCCTTTGATTGAGAATTAGACTTTCACAGCTAGCTCTTTGGTTTTACCATTGAAGCTCTGGCACTGGCATTTTTTTGTGTAGATAAAATGTGGTGTTTCTAAATGTTCAAACTTTAACTGAACTGCTGTTTGTCTGCACAGTTGGGAAGACTTCGCTCATCACCAGGTTTATGTATGACAGTTTTGACAACACTTACCAGGTAAAGATGAGTTACTTTGATGCGTTAGACTGCATTGATTCCCTTTAATCTTTGAAAGCTGTCTAATCTGCTTCAGACTTGTTCAGCTCTGTAACGCAAGTGTAATCAATAAGAATGACTGACAGTTTGGACAGCAAAAACACTAAGATTATCCAGTTTGATTCAAGCTACATCTGTAAATGCTTTCATTTGTTATTTCAATCAAGTTTCTACATATTTGCATCAAAGCAGCTATATACTGTGTTTTTTTCCACATAACATCACGTTAGCCTACACTGTGATTACTGATGAATCCTAAAAGCTTGAATCTGAAGACCAGAGCTGAGAAGCATAACCTCCCCTCTCTATTGTTAAACCTCTCTTTGTTTTAGTTATTTACCACAATGGTAATGGTATGATGTTTGACATTAAAAATTGCTAGTTATTTTGTGTAAATGATTTTTACGTCATCAAAATTCTTCTTGGTGCTTTGTTTAGAAACAGTCCCTCTACATTTTCTCTTTTAAACACACTGATTTTATCATATTGATTTCCATCTAGGATTGTTGTGTGGAAGTACAATCTATCTAATCGATCTAATGCTTTTCCGCAGTCTATATATACATTTTACATGAGAAAGTCACAATAAGAATACCTAAATGTACAATGTTTGTCTTAACAGGCAACAATTGGCATTGACTTTTTGTCAAAAACCATGTACCTGGAAGACCGCACGGTAAGCCCAGTTCATTTATTGTGTTCCCATCATTCCTATTGGTGAAGTTGTAAAACTGCTAGAAAAGCATGCGTCTGTTCTGTGTGTACTTGCCACCATTTATTTCCCTCTCAGCATTTCATATTATGTTATTACATTGTCTTAGATGTTTTTCATATGATCAACATTGGATCATGTCTTTAGTTCCCATCATTATTTTTTCAAAACGTTTTTTTCCTTCCATTCCCTGGCTGGATCACGAAATGCCCCCCTTCCCCCACGCCCCCTATTCCCACATTTGTATCATGGCTGGCCACAGATTCGGCTGCAGCTCTGGGATACAGCCGGACAGGAGCGTTTCCGCAGCCTCATCCCCAGTTACATCCGCGACTCAGCCGCCGCTGTGGTGGTTTATGACATAGCCAGTAGGTATCATGGCCTTGCCTCTCCTCCTTGTCCTTCGCTTATTATGTGGAAGGGCAAACAAAAAAAAGAGAGAAAAAAACAGCATTTACTTGTGTGACAAACCCTGTTAGACAGCATGATAAGACTGTTTGCATCTGGTGTGGTGAGTTTTAAAGCATTGCTCCAGCAATATCCAAAAGGGTCTGCACTTCCTGAACGCTGTCACATATGAGGCTAAAAGACAGAATGAATGCCTGTCACTGTCACTTCATGGGCTGAAGTTCTCAATCTGCCTAAATGATAATCCAGCTCGGTCTCCTTTCACACGTCTTGTTTGCATAACACACGTCATCTTTAAGCTTTCTGCATTCGAATGATTCTCCCATTCCACCATGAAAAGGCCATTCTCACCTTTGCTGCTTGGCTCGCAAATCTTTTACGTTTGTCCTGCTCTTCACTTTCCTATTTTCTCCTTGCCGCCCTTTATCTCTACCATTTTTGTCCTTCTCCTACATTCCAATTTTTAGGTCCGGCTCCAGCTTTGGGATACTGCTGGACAGGAGCGTTTTCGTAGCCTAATTCCAAGCTACATCCGTGACTCTACCATTGCTGTGGTTGTTTATGACATCACCAGTGAGTCAGGGCTGTGCTCTAATATTCTAATAGGCACCTAAAACAATTGGAGAAATATCTGATAATTACTCCTGGAAGGTCTTTAGATTTTTTCCTTTTTATTACTACTCTTCTGGATGCCTCTTCTTACTATCACATAACTCTAAGCTCAAATAAGATGCTTTACCTTTTTGTCCAACCTGTCTATACTGAATCTAACATGAGCCTTGTGAGGCAGCACTTACTAAATGTGGTTTTCTTTTTTCATTCGCAGATCTCAATTCATTCCAGCAAACCTCAAAATGGATTGATGATGTAAGAACAGAGAGAGGAAGTGATGTCATCATCATGCTTGTTGGAAACAAAACAGACTTGGCAGATAAAAGGTACATGATGGCGTGATGAGTGCGGACGACCTGCGATAATGATTTTCCCTTAATCTGTTTACAGACAGATAAATGCTTTGTAACGGCATAATTCCTTAACAAATAGAAAAATGCGCAGCAGGAGTGTAGAAAAACTCTGCCAAAGCCTGGAATCCCACTGTTCTTCCCTTCAGTGCATCTCACCCAAACTTTGATTTTGCCATTCCTTAATATGTTGCACACTCCAGCTTTTTTTGGAAAAGATTTTAGTACCCTTATTTCTTGTGATTTGAACATATTTCTGTTCTGCATTTCTTTTTCTTTGCTTTACTGTTTTTTATTCTTGTTCTGTTGTTCCCCAGCCTGGTATGTTGTCTCCATATCATTTTGAATTTATTTTTGTGTTCCCTCTATCCTAAACTCCACCCATTCACCCCCACCCCCCTCTCCCGGGACCATGGCAGGCAAGTTTCTGTTGAGGCGGCAGAGAGGAAAGCTCGTGAGCTCAATGTGATGTACATAGAGACCAGTGCCAAGGCTGGCTATAACGTCAAACAGGTTGGTGTAAAGCAGCAGCAGCAGGTGTATTTCTGAGCATCGTTGCTGCCTCCAGCACAGGTTTTCATGTCCAACAGGATCAAGCAGACCCCCTATTGACATCTTAGATGTTGACTTAGATGTGTTCACTCAGTCTAAAGGATTATAGTATGATCGTTGTATGAATGAGTGTCCCATGGAGTTGACTACCTGCCCCTTCGTCTTCACTCAGCACAGCTGCTTCTCTCCCTTTGTCTCTACTTCCTGTTTGTCTGAGTTACAAACTAACATCTCTTTTTCAACCAGAGTAAGGTTCCGTGTTGAGCTCTCTTTGTTTCTCTCTCCTCCCGTTGACGTCTCCTCTTTGCGACGTTCCTTTCCATACCTGTCTCTTCGTCCTTCTCGCCCACCCTCTGCTTTTACCGGAGCAGACAGATCACCACGGAGGAGGGCGAGCAGAGAGCTAAGGAACTGAATGTCATGTTCATTGAAACCAGCGCAAAGACTGGCTACAATGTCAAACAGGTAGCGACTCTGTTTTCTAAGGGTAGTTAAGCTCATCCTTCCTTCAAAACTCACACCTCATAGCTTCTTCCACCCTCTTCCCTCTCATGGCTCGTGTCTTCCTGGTGATACAGGCGTGATGCGTGGTACATTCTGTTTCAGCGGTGGCCGCCCCCCCCCCCTCACATGCTCTGCTTGTAGATGTTACACTGCGGTTTGGCTTGCTCTGCACAGGTTTACTGTCACATTATTTCTGACTGCATTTTGTTTGATTCACTAGAACATAACCAGCTTTAAAAATGTTTCTACAGATGCAAAATACACTGGGAGGCTGTGTAAACTGGTAATTAAAACAGGCGAAGCATCAACCACATGAGCAATTTGAAACAGTGTCAGATGAAATGGCAAATCTAGAGACAGAGAGGATTCCATCCACCAGTTTTTTTATTTGTAGGACTGAAACAGAGGTATAATTTGGAGATGGAACAGGTAACGGGGGTGTTTGGATGAGCCCCTGAGCCCTCTGGAGTGACTTCTCCCTCAGCCCTGATTCTGCTTAAAGCGGGGCTGCCTGTGGGCTGAGCGGTTCCAGTAGTAACACTGATTTTCAGCCTGGTCTCTTGTGTATCTTTGAGACTTTTAACCACTCAGAAGAAATGCAGCTGATCTAGACGGATCTAACCTCTGCCTAGAGTTTTTTTGTTGTTTTTGTTTTGTTTGTTTTTTAGTTACTGTAGAGACTTGAAGACAAAGGGTTTTTTTTAGTAGGCAGGGACAACTCCTTTAGAATATTTCCAGCTTTTAGGAGGCCGTTTTCAAAGAATGGTATCTCAGTGTTTATTCCCTCCCGTCTATTTCTTTCTTAAACACTGTGTGGGGTTTTAATGATTCACATTATCAACAGCCTCCCATCTTCTTTGGAAACATTGTTATAAGTTCATCATTAGAGGAGAGTAGCATCGCATTTTGCATCAATGTCGCTTATGTTTTGTTCTTCTAATCAAGTGTCGAACTGTCCACATGTAAAGTCAAAAAAGACTTTTAAGACATGCTGTTTTTGTTGTTTTGAAGAAGCATCCACAGAAAAGTCTTGATTTGTGGATGAATTGGGATTAACAAAGTTTTCTGGAACGTTTTTCTAAGCAAATCACAAACACGTTGCTTTGATTCCCAGTCCAGTGTTTTTTCCAAAAGCATTTAAAAAATTTGGCAGACTTTACTAGTGTACACTTTTTAATCAAACACCGTCTGATCAATCTGTCTCATCTCTGGTTCCTTGCCTCTGTTGCCCTGCATGTTTAACATGTTGGCCTACTTCAACACACTCTGAATAAAACAGAAAGCCATTATAAATTGAAATCAGGTGTGTTGGATCAGGAAAATGTCTTCAGTAGTCCCGTAGACCTCGCTGAGTTGCATTTAGGAGTTCTGCAGGACAAAATGTAGATGTCTAATAAGATGAAATGCCTCTGCTGATTGATATGCGATACTTGGTCCCTTTTTAGTTACCATGAATCAGTTAGACAACATTACTTTAGTGTTACAGGATTACGAGTCTTACTTGAGTTTCCAGAAAATAAGAATGCTTATTTATGTTGAAAACTGAGATTATAAGCACGTCACCCAACCCCCCTTTACATCCCAAAGCAGTGGTTCCATTTGTAATGGACTGACTTGTCCTGCTTTCTTCTGCAGCTGTTCCGGCGCGTTGCTGCTGCTTTGCCTGGGATGGACAGCACGCCAGAGAAAAGCAAAGAGGACAGTATCCTTTTTAGGTCATTTTCAGCAGACTTTATTCTCACATTAACGTTGTTGTCACTATAACTGCAATACTTCTAATATATACCAAAAAGAAAAAAGATGTTGGCCACTTATGGTGCTTTCAGACCAAACCATTCCAGAGACAGCCACTGAAGCAATCCAATATGAGATTGCTTAGTGTAAAATGCCCCACTTTTTTTGTCCCTGAAAGCTCAATAAATCATAGCCCAGAGCTTTCGAAACTGAGACGACAGTCTCTACAAAGGGGCTCAATTTGGTCTTGATGAATAGATGTGAATAAATGCTACACTAGTTTGTTGATTGAAAAAGACAATGCATAGATCATTTTAGATTAGACAAAGCAACCATAAACAGCCCAAACAACCCCTGAGTAAGTGTAAGTGGCAGTTCATTGATGAATTTATCTGTTTGAGGCTTTTTCTTTTCTGAGGGAGACTGGTTGTAAAACAGCTTTCCTGCAGTGCTGATACAGAAAGGGTTCTGGTCTGAGAGCAGTCTTAAGTGAGCTAAAGAAAGAGCCACGACGGAGTGAGAGCGTGCCACAGAAAATGTCGAAGAGAGAACTTGCAATTCATGAGCGGTATTGCTTAACCACCTCCGTCTCAGTGATCGACATCAAGCTGGAGAAGCAGCCAGAGATGACCGTGACCGAGAGCAGCTGCTCCTGCTAGTACTCCTCGGCCCCACCCAGCTCGTCTCTTCTCCACCAACAGCTCGTCTCTCAGTGGTCACTCTCTGCCGCAGGGATGGAGGACCTTTTTTTTTTTTCTCTTCTTCTTCTTCGTCCCCCTCCTTTTCAACTCAGTGACTTTTCAAAGTAACCGTGTGGATGTGCATTACTGTATTGAATCAGATTATCTTGGGGGGGGCGGGGGGGGATTTCCGAAGCAAACGTTTAAAACAAGGAATAAGTTGAATATGTTCAGATTTTCATCCAGTTGCATGGCATTATATAGGACTGCAGACTGACCTAGCTAACCGCTCCTGAGTTTTTGCACAGTTCAGAATCTTAGTGCTGTTTCTCTTGTCGTTGTAAAGTTAAACTGCTTGGGATCATGTAAATTACTGCAAGGTTCAATTCTCTGCCCATTGTGTTTTCTTTTTATTTCAAAGGGAGAATTTGCCAGAAACTGTTGTATCTCTGACAGCGCAGAACTTTTTGTCTCGTTTTGAGGAAGTAGAGACAGGATCTTACCAGTGAGTTTGCATCATTTCAATTCATCATACAACCGCATTCAAGTCAAGTTAACCCTTTACATTGAGGAGGATCAGTGGAATCATTCTTTCTGTGCCACATGGACACATCTGTAGGTTTAAGATGCCAAAAAAAAAATGCCAATCCGTCATTAACTCAGAGCAGCAGAAAAATTAGTTACAAAATAACAAGGGAATAGGTGTCCATTATCAACCAAAGGGAAGCCTAACCGTAAACATTGTCTGCGTTAAAACGGTTCTCATCTTTTCAATATATTGAATTAGCTTCTAACTAATACAACTGAGGAGGAGTTTTCACTTCTTAGGTTAAGGTAACACCTTTAGTTTCTTCCACTCTGATGGAGAACGCCATCTCATCCATAGTTTGTGTTGTGTTGATTACACTATGGCGAGAACATGCAGCATGCTCACCATGCAGGATTCATATGGATAAGAACACAGATGCCTTGCTTGTTTGTTCACCATGTTGTGCACTGAATCAAGCCACAATATTGTAAAAATATCAACGAAGCCTGCTGACTGGTTCATGGCTTCACTAGATGTTTTGTAGAGCTGGTAGATTAACGTCCTCAGATGCAGCCAGTGCTTACTAACACCCTTGCTGTAAAGGGGAAAAAAAGTGCAGAGAAGTTAGTTGCAGTATCTTTTGCTGTATTGCTATTTCCTGTGTAGGACTGTTGGTTTTATGCATTTATTTATTTTGAACCTTAAGACATACAGATGACATCGCACACTTAACCAAAAGTGCAGACGCTGACACGCATGTCGGAAAATTCTTTTATTTATTTGTTTGCGTGTCTGCTAGGGCGCCACATAAAGGTGACATCTATGCCTGGTAATGTTTTCTCTCGTGTAGTCGGTAGCTTGGTTTACAGTGACAGGTAAAAGCTGCAACATGTCCACACAAACACGCGCGCACGCACACACAGTGTCACACCATCCAGATAACTAGCCATAGCACAACAAAAGACGCCGGTCATTTTGCTGTTGCTTGTTTTGAAATGTCAGCCTTTTGAAACGGATCGGAAGGTGGAAGCATTTAATGACATGGCAAACAAACATTTTTATCATGAGCAGCTCTTCTCTTATTTGTCACTGACTCAAATACTCAGCTTTGTGCTCTTCTGAATTGTGTCTGTCTATTTGAAATATGATGTCTACTCGTGTTTAGCCGCGTTTGTGTGAATAATGTACTATTATTATCTTATGTATAAAAAGGAGAGTCAATGAAACACAAGTGTAGGCCTATCACATGGAATAAAATAAAGATATTTCACCAAAATGAAACATTTGTGAGTCCTTTCCTTTCTGAGGGGGTGGGGGGGTGTTGTGTGGCTTCTGGTGAATGAAAAGTGGCAGTTTGTTTGGGTTTTATGGTGCATTCATTCGTCACTGTAGTCTGTTGGCTGGGCTGAAAAACCTGTCTCTCCCAGGTGTGTGGCACACGTCATCAGAGTCATCTGAAACTGCACAGTGGACAACATGAAGTGTTACATCAAGGTGTGGCAGACTATGGCCATGACGCAGCTCTACACAGGCTGCTGTTACTGCTCATTATGCGTTAGGACAGAGTGTGAAGATCGTGACTGAAAGCTAGATTAATCTGCCTCAGCTGTATAAGCCCCATTAAATGATACGGCTCTCTTTCTTCCCTCTATTGTGATTTTAAGGCAGTGGGAGTGAGCTGGGTCCATTCAGCGCGGGGATAATCTGTCCTTTCCTCACTTTGAGGCACAGCTTCAAAACTATTGGTGTGTTATGTAAGAAATAAGTATATTTGAATGACTCATGAAATGTCTATTTTAGGGTCTGGCCCAGCTGCCACTATAGATGTAACCTGGTCACAAAGGATGTGATTCTACACTAAACATTACACTTATGCAACAGTATTTAAGTGGAGCTAATGTTACGGACTTTTTTCTTTTTTTTTACCAAATACCTATTTTTAACTATTATCCTGTTAAATTATCTTTATTGACACTGTTTGTAGCTACAAGTCTTTACATCCATTGAAGACACTGTAGTGTTTATCTTTATGACAGTGGCTTTGTGTGGAACTATAAGGACAAATGTAACATTCTTTCACGCATAGTTAAATTTACTACGATGACTAGGAACATTTTAGGCATTTCATAGGCGTGATGTTTTCTCTGTCATCAGAGAGCCCTTCTCACCCACCCACTGCCCCCCCCTCCCCTCCCCTCCCCTCCCACAGTCCCCAACCCACTACTCTAACACCTCCTGGGTGTTCCAGCGCGCAGTTTCAGTCACGACCAGAGGAAAGTGTTTGGAATAGTTTCATTCTGGACGGACACTGGCTAAACCCTCCAATAGGGGCGGGGTCTACTCCCCCCCCCCACCTTATACACAAACGCACACTCACCTGTTGTCCGGAAGTGCCTCTGCGTCAGCTGAAAGAGTGTGTGTTTGAAGGAATGGCTCAGGAATTCCTCACCAAAGAATCCTGCCGGACTTGATTGGTGATCCGGGCGCTTATATCCGCCTGCGCGGCTCCTCGGGAGCCTCAGATCGGAGGGTTTTGTTTTCCCCGCAAGCAGCCGCGGGTCAGAGCGCAGAGATGTCCAGACCGGAGAGCATTTTACCTGGCGACGCCGCCTTCGCCGACTTCAAGAAGCAGTGTCTGGCTTCCGAGAACTGGCACAGCAAGTATGACAACAACGGGATGCAAGTTTGGGTCGAGGGCCAAACTCCCAATAAGGGGAATTACGTTCCAAAAATCCACAAAATCAAGGTGAGTCTCTGACTGGAAGGCTGGGAACGGCCAGCTGTCCGCGGCCCGGGGTGACGCTTTTTCTGCTCCTCTGTGTGTGTTCAAGTGCAAAATGGTCATCAAAGACGTGTCCGCGGCCACCATGTACGACGTTATCCACGACGGCCAGTACAGGAAGAAGTGGGATCCCAACATGCTGGAGAGCTTTGACATTGCCCGACTCTCTGACAACGCCGATGTGGGCTACTATTCCTGTGAGTCCCAGACCCACCACAGACCCTGCAAACTCACTAGAAAACTGTATTTTTCTATTCGTTATCAGCTCATAAAGCACTTGTTTGCATGTCATTGCTTTTCTAAAGCTGTCTTTGAACTTTTTTCATTGTGCCTCCAGGCTTATTTCTCCATTTCCCTTTGCTTCTGTTGGCACTTTTAAGCTGGGGCCACAGAAATGAGGGCTGGGAGGCTTCTCCTTACACCAGTGTATTTATTGTCATAACATGGGAATTCACTGTTCACAGGAGGAAAAAAGAACGGAGCTAAGGGATGTGATTGGTTCATGTTTTTGTATGCCCCCCCCCATCTCTTTGCAGGGCTTTGTCCTAAACCCATAAAGAACAGAGACGTTGTGACCCTGCGCTCGTGGAGGGTGACAGACGATGAATACATCGTCATTAACTTCTCGGTCAAACACCCGGTAAGCCGCCACCCTCCGAACCCGGAACGCCACACCTCCACCTCCACCTCCTCCGTGTGCATGCGGTGGCGTTTGACCCTGCTTTTGCCTCATTATCCTGCATCTGCTCACAGAAATACCCGCCGCACAGCCATCTGGTGAGAGCCATTTCCATGCTGACCGGCTATTTCGTCAAGTCCACGGGGCCGAACAGCTGCATCTTCATCTACCTTTCACAAGCCGACCCCAAAGGTAGGAGCGCACCCAAGAGTTTCCTGTTCGGACTTCTGACCGAGCAGTCTTTGGAAATGTTCTCAAGGCGTCTCTGTGTGTGTTTTCTTTAGGCTCTCTTCCAAAGTGGGTGGTCAACAAAGCCTCACAAGTTCTTGCTCCCAGGGTACGTATGTCTGACAACATGTGGCTTTGACCAGCAGAGGGGAAGGTGGTGAGGTTTTTCTTTAAGTGTCAGCGTCTGAGAGGCGTGCGACAGGTGTTCTCAGGAGGGAGTGGGTGGGTTTTGCGCGCCTTAAGGCACAAAGGTAACCATAGAAACGCATCCAAAGGGCCTAGCCCAGGTAAGTGCGGCTGCTGACAGAGAAGAATCTCAGCCCGAGCTGTCGGCGGTTCTCCTGGCAGAACCCGTTCCCCGAGTTTCATAACTCGCATAGATTTAAACCGTGTAGACCCAGGTTTACACGGGTTTGGGAGAAACTGGCTTTGGGTGGCTCCGTCCCGGAGCGGAACTGAAGTGCTCTGCCTTCTCTAGACAAGAAGGGTGTGTTAGAGAGAGCCCAGGGTTCAATGTTAAAGATTAAGCCGTGCGTATGTTCGGTCCTACCATCGATGTAGTTCGACCTGTAGGAAAGTAGGTGTGTGGGGCGTTTCCAGGTCGGCTTCCTCTGCTCGGGAGCAACATGTCAGCCCCTTAATGTGCCAGTTATTTGAACAGTTTTTATTCCATTAATCATTCATCAGTCAGGCTTAGACATTTGGAGTCGGAACTAATTACGGACTTGAATCGCAGACCAATTCTGCTTATCAGGCTGCACAAGTTCCACATGGAGATTTGTTTTCATGATACTTATCACAGCGTCCAATCACTCCCTCCTTACAAAAAAGAAGGGAATGATTGTGTTGTTGTCACAGGTTGCTCATTTTCCATGTTGAGCTACATGAATTCCCAGTCAGTGCATCTCGATGGGAATAATTGATTTTCTTTTTAAATAGTAAGGCCATGTTGTGAGATTGAATGACCTCCCTCTGGTTTAGTGTGTCCTTTGGCAAAGGAGATAACAAAGGAAGCACTGAATCTCCATCAAGATTACACTAAGTATTGTGTTTATCTTCCAGTTGTACTGGGTCAGGGAGCTCTAGTTTCCCACAACTGGTCTGGGTCATGACTACTTTCCGTTCACGCTAATCCCACCACCTTCAGTCTCCTGAGTTACCTGAACGATAATCACCCCTTTTCTCTCCAGGTCATGAAGAGCGTGCACAAGGCGGGACAGAACTACCCAGATTGGAAGCGGCAGAACTCCCCCAACCAGAAGCCTTGGCTGTACCCGGAGCAGAGCACGCTGTCCGTGATGGACCCCGCCGAGCTGTCCATACAGAGGACGGACTCGCTGGAAAACCTGGATGAAAGCTCCAAGATGGACACTCAGGACAGCGAGGACAGCAGCTAAATCTCTGAGAGGGGACGGGAGGAAGGGTGGCCAAAGGGGGAGATCTGGAACAAGACTGTACGAATTTGAAGGGGGGAAAAAAACTGGACTTTAAAAAAACAACAAAAAAAACAACTTTGACTTGAAGATCTCCAACTCTCTTATTTCAAACTCAGTTTCTTCCAGTTTTCCAGACTGGCGCGCCAAATTGGGCTAGCAAGAGCATGAAGTGTTTCCAGTTCGCCTTAGCGAGACAGAAATGAGCACGGATCAAGCTGCCATTCACCTCAGTCCGCCTTAAACTAAGCTTTTCTACAGGGTTAGAGGTGGCGGGCATTCATGTGACATTATTAAAGCACTGCATTCATAACGGATCCAGCCGCAGGTCTTTTTTGGTTGCACCTGAGTCAAAGTCTAATCAGACACAGCCGTCCACCGGTGGGGTCTCCCACATCACGTCCGACTCCGTCTTTTTTTAAATGTAAAGGAAAGCTTTTTAACTTAATGTTTTTATATCTTCTCTGAGCCAGACGGCTAAATTAATGGCTGTTTTTAAAAAAAAAAAAAAAAAGAATTCTGGCTTGCAATTGTAACCGAGAAGACTTGGGAGTTTGATACATTGTCAGAAGTTGTGGAATAAAAAAAAATGCAGGCATGGTTTCAATTAGCTCACAAGGACATCAAAATGTCTCTCAGTGGGCTGTACCAACATGGATAATGTATAAAATGTACATTTTTGTTCTCATCTTACCTGAACAATTGGAAGGGCCATCAATGGTGTATTTCATTGTATTTATTTATTTTACTTTAAACAGCTGAAGTCAGGCTGAAAAGACCCTGGAATGAAGCCCTGTGGGCTGAGGTCATCTTTTTTATTAATTTTTTTTTATGTGGACTTAATTTTGCTCAGTTTTTTTTTTGTTAACTCTATTGTTTCTTTAAAATAAACCGTTTGAAGTCAACATACTTTGGAAATCACTGTCGTTGACTGCATTCTTATCTGACATTCAGTCTCAGCTGAAACCAACCTGAAGTCGGGGGAACGAGTTAGGTGGCTTACACCAGTATAAACCAGTCTGGGTCCAGTTCTGCTGTAGGTTTTATGTATACACAAAGGTAACCGGTTACTAAAAAACACATGATATAAATCCAGCCTGCTGCCATGTGTGATGCTGCCGGGCGGTTCTTAGAAAACGTTTCGGTCACAGATCAAAAAAAAAAATGAATAAGAGGGCATGTAATGTGGACATTACTAACTAGTTTCATAAATAGGAAATGAAACATTTATTTTCATATTTTGCTTTCTAAGAATGGTTTACATTTTTGTGAACGAGTTTTGTTTTGTTTTTTTGTTTGACCAGAAGAAGTGCGACGGTGACAAAAAACTAAGAAATAAGAGTTGCAAATGTACTTACTTGGACACGTCTGCTGACTTTGCTAATCAAAGGAACAAACCAGAGGCTTAAGGGCCCCTTCGGTTCAATATTATTCCTAAATTTCTAGCAAAATAAGGCTCTTTTTTTTAAAGGCGATGAGTAACAGGGCTTGTTTAGTGGGTTAACTTTTTAGCTATGCTACGCTAACAGGTGGGGAGTGAGCAGGGGATTTATTTATCAGACGGCTGCGTTGGGGCGTCACTGTTCACAATAAAAACATGCAAACCAGAGAACCGTCACCACTCCATCATTTGTGTAGTTCCCTTTAATAGCACGCTACACTTCACACCTTTTAAAAGTTTGGCATCTCAAACATATAGTCTGAAAGTAGCAAAGGGCAGAGTGAAAAAGACATTCATAACCATAGAACCAGACAATATTAAATCAACATCTACACCATTTATCATCTCATGCTCAAATTAAAACATTTGTTAAATAGTTAAAAATTCACGTGCGATACTAATATATAGATTATCTATTTTCTAAATCTACCAGCAGTCCTGCACTGTATTTTGTTCTTACAGAATGACAGGCCAGACTGTCTGTAGTTACTGTGGGTTAAAATCTATTCATATATCAGTGTCTAATGTGCAAAATGCACATGAGTTCCAATCTAAAACTAAAACAGATATCCAAAGCTGACACAGGCAATGAAAGTAAACAGGTTCCTTAAATGTTTGAAGTCGTAATACAATGTTATGTAAAGTGTCTACATTTAGGGTTTTGCTTTCCTGTGCCGAACGGCAGAAACCTTTCAGTATGGCAGCAGACGACAGACAGCCACACTCTTTAAGGCTACAGCAGAGTACATTTTCCTTATTGGGAGGACCTTGAATGATGAGCTTAGTCATACATCTGTCATTGTGAAGCCGAGACAGAATGAAGGCCAGATTCTGGGGGAGGAAGGTAATGACGAGACATGCTCCCCTCTCTTCTGCCACCTAGTGGACAGTTCTCTCCTTCTGCCTTTGGTAGTCTGTGAAAAGAGCAAAGAAGCCATGGTTATCCTATAACATACAAGGTTTTTTTTTTAAAATGGTAATAAATACAGACTGCAATAACCCATAAATATTATGTTTAACCCCAAAACCATAACTCATTCAAAGTAGAAGACATAAACAATATCAAATCAAAGTGGAAAGTGAGTAAATTCCAGCTCCTCTTTAATTTGGAAGCAAAGGGTCTGAATTTTACGTGGACAGGACCATGTTTACACCTGTGTACTATCCCCACTTTCTGTTACCAACAGCCTGTGAACATCTGGACACTGAAAAGACCAGTGGCTACACCTCTGGTGGACAAATGTGGTCCTCGTGAAATCTGATCTAATAATATCTGCTCTCACAAGATTTCAGCCTTGTGTCTCCTTTGTCATATTTTATGCTTGATGATGCGCTAAATGTTTTTCAACTGATGAAAGGTCTGCTCTGCAGGCAGCTGTCAGTGATAGCGCTCTTCCACCTCTCACAGAATCATCCTTTCGGCACGGCAAGTATCACGGCTTCAACGAAAGCTCAGAGTAAAGAAACCCAGGTATGATGGTCTATTACTGAAACGATTCAGGGGATCGGGGCTTACTGTAAGGGAAGAAGCGAACCCTCATCAGGATTTCTCGAGCCGTCTTTAGAATCTCCACGGCCTGGAGCAGAAAACACACAGCTTCACACACCCAGCACAGCAACTTTTACCAATATTGTCGGGCATTGAATATGTAAATAAAATCTTTAAACAAATCTAATGTAACACAAAGCTCTCCAGGTATTGCTGAAATAACATAACATCAATGACATCACTATGAATTATAACAGGAGGAGTCATATGCTGTTATAAAAGAAAGACTAACGCTAACATATACTTCTGCAACAACATCTGGAAATACTTTAAAATAGCTGGAATTTTTTCTCATTTTAGGTTTACCAAAACATAATAAAGTACAGTTATGAAATTGACCAATTAAAACAAGATTTTCAGATTGAATTACTTTCATATCCAAGTTCTCAGAAAAGGAGAAAAACTGTCTTCCTTATGGGCTCAAATGTAATTGGACAAATGATCTTAAAGCTGTTTCACGGATGGGCGTTTGTCCTAATCCTCTGTAACTTCTTTACCGGTTAATCAGCTATAAAGTCTAAAGTCCAAGAGTGGCATTTGCATTTAAAAGCAGATGGTGTGAATCTATTGTAATCGCTCAGAGGAGATCTCAGCTGACAAGGGTCACCCCTGGCCCACGAAAACAAAACTAATCCAAGGATTGGCAGATACACTGTATTCACTGTAGGAAGCAAGGAGGCCAGATTAGGGGGGGGGAAAGCCAAGCTAACAGATAAAACTAAGATAAAGCCAAAAATGAATGCCAAAACACAGATTTTGCGGAAAATAAAAGGAGACTGGGTAATGACATCATCTAACACGGCTGGTATCAGCGAGGTGAATAATGCAGTGTAAAATAGACATTCTGTGAAATGAAGCACCGATAAGTGGAAATGATCCCGTGTGCTGGGGCCAAGGACTTTTTTTTTTATTGTTGTCATTTTTGGTGGAGAAGAAGAACATATCCTGTTTTTGATAATACAAAATGTTTTGTTTTTAAAATTATCCAAACTTTTTTTATTTTTATAACTCAAATCTGTGCCCTCTGCATTCAAGACAAGCCGAATATGTATCAAACGTGTATTTTAATATTTACAAGTTGTGTAGCAGCTGAGACTTCAAATGTCTCAAGATACCTTCGATTAAAATAGGACTGAACTCATACTTCATTCAGTAAAGTGCGATAAGCGCCTCCCTGCATTCCCCTTCGCACATGGGCCCTGCAACACTCCATTGAGTTAAATCTGTTTGGACATCAGCGAAGGGCACAGCTCCAACTTACTCTTGAGTGCTCTATGTCTTGAAAATCCACGTCATTCACAGAAAGAACCTGGTCTCCCTCCTGAAGCCCCGCTCGGTGGGCATCTGAATCAGGGACCACCTGCCAACGCACACACACACAGACACACACTGATGAAGAACAACAGAGATAGAGCGATTAAATCACACACAAAAAAATAGGGCTGCACACACACCTTGGATATGAAGATTCCTAACTGTGATGCTTTGCCCCCTCGGATGTTGAAACCCAGCTGTGCTCCTGGAGGTTTCTTCAACACGATGGTGCGGGGCAGGAACTGGGTGAGCTCGTTGTTGTAGTCCGGGTGATGAACACGCTAAAAATGAAGACGGAAAAGAAGAACAGCTTATAACATCCAACAAGAGTTGTGAGACTGCGTATAACAAGGGGTGGCAATCATAGACGCATTATTGTGTAAACATTCAGCCTCTTGAATTAGATTAGAATGTGTTCCTGTAGAAAAAAAATGTATATCTATATATCTAGAGAGAGAGATCTTAAAAGCTCCTTCAATTACAACCGACATGATGACAGCAGGTGAGCAAGTTTGTGTTTTTGTCCAATATTTCTCTGGTGTTGATGAAACTCTACAACACCTGGGGTGATAACAACTGCAAGAAAAACAAGACTTTGTTGATCTTGAGTTGTATTTTCTCTCCTTTTTTAAAATAAAACCATCAAAGTTTTAGACAGGTTTAAGATCCAGGAGGGCTAAAAAAGGTGTCATACTTCCTGTGGAGGGATCCACGCTGGCGGGTTCTCATAGGAAGGCAGGAATACCACCGGGAGCTGGTAATCATCGTAAGGAATTTTTTGGTCCATCATGGATGAAACTACTAAAGTGAAAGGGGTTGCATGTTAAAATCATTCCTCTCCACATTGTGCACGACTTCTTACAAACACACAACAACATGTATGAAGGAATCTACACTCTAGTAGCCAAACAATCACTGTTTAAACGACCAAATACTAACGTTGCTAAACCTCACATTAACATTACATTAAAATCAAAGATAAGTCAATTAAAAGAGATTGTATGTCATGCTTAGCGACAGCGAAGTCCACACTATGAAAACAAATAGTCGCCAAACTGTATGCTAACTATCACCACAACGGTTTATTTAGCCAACTTTGACAACTTTGACACAAACTATCTTCCCGGGATTAACCGGTTTGATTCAGCATTTTAGCTAGTATCGTCAACTTGAAGATCAAGAGACTAGAGGGCATAATATCTGTGTTAAACGACACTTAGACCAGCTGTTATATAAAAACAAAACTGTATCTCACCTGCCAGTGTGACGGCTAGCAGTTAGCCCTTCCTCTACTAAAGTAAATACTTTCACCTCACAGAACAACAGCGCCGCCTGCTGGCAGGGAGTCGTGCTGCCGTTTATAGGAACGGCAAACGTCCCAAAGGAACAGTCGCGCTCATTTCTGGACCCCCTAAGCCATTTTTAGACTTAAATATATTTTGAAGTTAAATGCTGCCAGTATTTTTGATCAATAGTCTCTTAATTTATGCCCCCACCCCCCTTATTCACAACACATTCCACCCACATGTGACATCTCAAGGATCAAAATTTAAATTCAGGGCCACACTCTCCTTGTCACAATGTCCCCATGCTGTTTGCCACTCCAGGCCTTGTCTGTCAAAAACTTTACTTTTGTGTCTTCTCTCCTTCCCTGCATTTCTTGGAGCGGAAACTTGGAGCTTTTTTTGTCATTCCGTCCAGTCTGATTCAGATAATCATTAGTAGAAACTTCCAAATGACTGTTGAAGACTGGTAATGTGCCAAGTGTACACGGTTTCACCTTTCAATAACAAAAGGAAAAAAGTAAATCATCTGGGTTATCCACGCATTGCTGAGCTTTGAGGAGCACACTTCAAGTTTCTGCAAGTTTTCTGCAGCAATTATGGCAGAAAAAAACTTCCCAAGGCTCTTTTTCTCCCGACTCTCCCCTCACCTCATCCAATCGAGACATTTTTTTATCCTCTTGTGGCTGCCTCGATTTTTTCCTGGAAGTATTGCTTATTTCCATCTGAAATCTATAAGTCTGTTCCCATCACAGATTTAAAAAAGATCATATTTGAAGCATTTACTTTTTGCCTATGATAAGGCCCTTCTAAGAGCTATGACAACTTAAATACAACATCAGACTGGAGTCAACAAGCCTCCCCACTGCTGCCCCCTTTTTAACCTGGATTTAATAATTTAATAGTCATAGTTCAAGCTGTATGGTCTCCAATATGCAAATTGCTTGTTCTCAGTTTATTATAACTTTACTTCAGTCTTGCCAACCAAACAAATTTACTCATTTTAAAGGTTAAAAAGTCAAAAGGAGAAGTTAGGATAAACCATTGAGCAGCTCAATAATGTATCGTTGGGTATATTTCTATTGTTGGATTTTATAATACAGTATATGTCAGGGTTTGTGTTGGCGTGCTCTGTTTTTCCTCACCTTCACAGGTGGCTGCAATTGACAGGTGAGCGTGTTCCAACAGCTGCGGCTCTTCAGACACTCTAAGGGCCGGTGTTGTGCGAAAAAGTGAATGTTTGCGAGAATCTGATTAAGCTCACGGGAGCGCGCACCGCAGCCCGCTGAGCGATACCGTAAACCTGCTTTTCTCTGGATTACACGGTCATGACATGCAGATACACACAGTTGCATTATAATATAGGCCTAATTAAATTATAATATAGGCCTAATTAAAGATTCGAAAGCTTAACGTTTGTCACATAGCGGCAGTTACGTGACAGACATGTTTCTATACTCGGTCTGATGACTTTGTGTAGCCCTGACATTGGAGACTACACTACAATAAATATGATTCACTGGAGGGTTTTCGATAAAGATATGATCACTTTTGCAACGATCCTCGTGACTCTGCATTGTTTCTTATCTGATCTGGCCGTATATAGCACGAGTTTCCCATGTTTCTATTTGTTTTGCAGTTTTCAATCGGTTTTCACCTGTCAAAAATTGATTGAAGGCACAGTATAGTCACTCAAAGGTTATTTCTACCTAAATATGTGTGACAGGGTGGACCAGGAAGTGGGAAGTTGGGGGGCGGAGCATAGCTTTTAAAAGCCAGAGGGAGCAAATCTGGGCCTTTCGCTCCACCTGGGTGCAGAGGGCAACCGGCAGCCATCATACTTGAGCGGTTAAGCCTAATTTGTGTTTGGTGCAAACACAGACAAAGGTAAATGTATACTCTAGGTCTGTCATAAAAGCAGTGTGGCAAATAACAACCATATCCTTTTACATCCAAGTAGTAGCTACAGTCATCAGTCATCACCTGCTGGCCTCTTCAACTAAGAGTTCTTTTTGGAATGCTAACAAAGGTAACTTACTTAAGGTACTAATTTGAATAACAGTGATCGTCATATTGATTGTGGAATGTGTGTGTTTTTTAGTTATCTGGATGCTACTGAGTCGCCACTGTTTTTTCCCCTTTTGTTAAGTTTTAGGCTGTGTATAAATTGTTTGGGCCTGTATAGGATTTTCGGACCGTGTCAATTTGAATTGACCTGGGGTACCTTTGCATGTTTTGTTTGGTTTTTATTTGGGCTTTTGTTTGGCCATGCCATTTTGATTTTGTTTCCTAAGTTGCATATTTATTATTATTTAAACTACTCCAGGTCAGTAAAGTATACGCTGGTCCTGTTTTGAATGCAGCCCATCGATTAACCGTATTTTTAAGATTTCAGAACATCGAATAATGATTTGATATTTTTGTAAATAAACATTGGACTACTAATTACGTCTCTTTATATTCTATTTTACACTTGGTCACATATGACTAGATTTCCTTCAGGAGATGCATGATTTAAAGATCTGAGCTCACAAAACAGCTTGGAACTCTTTTAAAGGACCATTACAACACAAAATAGCCATTTTGACTTGCAAAAAATGTATTAAAGCCCAAATGCTGTCATTCAAAGGGGATATCTGCTCAAATATTACTTGATTTCATTCAGAAGCATCTTATTTTAAATAGATCAAGTCCTTTTTAGGCAAAAATCACCTTTCTTCAACCACATTTGGCCTTTAATCAATTTCTAGCAAGGTGTTTTGACCTCGGCCGACTTGCTAGAAACTGATTAAAGCCCAAATACTGTCATTCAACGGGGATATCTGCCCAAATATGACTTGATTTCATTCAGAAGCGTCTTATTTTAAATAGAACAAGGCATTTTTAGGCAAAAATCACCTTTCTCCAACCACATTTGGCCTTTAATCAATTTCTAGCAAGGTGTTTTGACCTCAGCCGACTTGCTAGAAACTGATTAAAGCCCAAATACTGTCATTCAAAGGGGATATCTGCCAAAATATGACTTGATTTCATTCAGAAGCATCCTATTTTAAATAGAACAAGTCCTTTTTAGGCAAAATTCACCTTTCTTCAACCACATTTGGCCTTTAATCAATTTCTAGCAGGGTGTTTTGACCTCAGCCGACTTGCTAGAAACTGATTAAAGCCCAAATACTGTCATTCAAAGGGGATATCTGCCCAAATATGACTTGATTTCATTCAAAAGCATCTTATTTTAAATAGATCAAGTCCTTTTTAGGCAAAAATCACCTTTCTTCAACCACATTTGGCCTTTAATCAATTTCTAGCAGGGAGTTTTGACCAGCCAACTTGCTAGAAACTGATTAAAGCCCAAATACTGTCATTCAAAGGGGATATCTGCCCAAATATGACTTGATTTCATTCAGAAGCATCTTATTTTAAATAGAACAAGTCCTTTTTAGGCAAAAATCACCTTTCTTCAACCAAGTCGGCTGAGGTCAAAACTCCCTGCTAGAAATTGATTAAAGGCCAAATGTGGTTGGAGAAAGGTGATTTTTGCCTAAAAATGCCTTGTTCTATTTAAAATAAGATGCTTCTGAATGAAATCAAGTCATATTTGAGCAGATATCCCCTTTGAATGACAGCATTTGGGTTTTAATACATTTTTTGCAAGTCAAAATGGCTATTTTGTGTTGTAATGGTCCTTTAAAAGAGTTCCAAGCTGTTTTGTGAGCTCAGATCTTTAAATCATGCATCTCCTGAAGGAAATCTAGTCATATTTAGGTAGAAATAACCTTTGAGTGACTATACTGTGCCTTCAATCAAATTTTGACAGGTGAAAACCGATTGAAAACTGCAAAACAAATGGAAACATGGGAAACTCGTGCTATATACGGCCAGATCAGATAAAAAACAATGCAGAGTCACGAGGATCGTTGCAAAAGTTATCATATCTTTATTGAAAACCCTCCAGTAAATCATATTTATTGTAGTGTAGTCTCCAATGTCAGGGCTACACAAAGTCATCAGACCGAGTATAGAAACATATCTGTCACGTAACTGCCGTTATGTGACAAACGTTAAGCTTTCGAATCTTTAATTAGGCCTATATTATAATTTAATAAGGCCTATATTATAATGCAACTGTGTGTATCTGCATGTCATGACCGTTTAATCCAGAGAAAAGCAGGTTTACGGTATCGCTCAGCGGGCTGCGGTGCGCGCTCCCGCGAGCTTAATCAGATTCTCGCAAACATTCACTTTTTCGCACAACACCGGCATTTAAGGATCAGGCAGGGAGCAGGAAGAGGCCAGAGTGTTACTCTGTTGTCTTTTTGTTCCCTGGACTCGTGCCTCTTGGACTCTGTGCTCGGCAACCAGCTCCAGATCCAGCCTGGCTCAGATTCTGCTCTTGCGCTCCCCTGGATCCGTTGATGGTTGTCATCAGCTTTGATTCCTCCTGCCGCTCCGCCTGCCACGTTGCCGCTGCCGCCCGTTCCCAGTCAGTGTCGCCACCCCCAGCCCCCGTCATTCAGCCACCTTAGCTGTCACAGTCACCGTAACCGAACCCGGTTCGCTCACCTCTCCCGGATCGGTCCTCGCTCGGACTGATCGTCCGGGAACCCGACGCTCCGACCCGAGTTCTTGAACAATCTCTCATTTATTTGAATAAACTCACTTAAACCTATTCCTGTTCTCCCGTCTAAGCGTCTCCATGTGGGTTCAGAAACTCAAAACCACGACAGTATATAGATAACATGTCATTTTCATACCCTGTTGACATTCTACATGATTTTATCTCAGCTGGTTAAATTATGAAAATATTAAAAAGAGATAGCATTTATTATTTCTTAAATCAGTTTGACAGTAATTCAACTGCCATTAAAATGACAAAAAAGGGAACAAAAACTCAGTAAATGATTCTTCTACAAACATACCTTCACAGGTTCTGACAGAACTAACACTTTTTAAAAGGAACTGTGCAAACTAAGCCTTTTTGTACTGTATGAATGCCATATATTCATGTTCATTCATAATTCATATTTCAATTGGAGTGTAGAATAGGATTGACTGGGCTGAAGCTCTACATTTAGACTAAGAATGCTCATGATGCATGGACAGAAAAAAACAACTGTGTAACACAGCCTCCTCACCGAGGCACTGATGTGTAACCTCACATATTTGCAGATTGTAAATGTAGTATTTTCTTTCCACGGTAGCTCTAGTTTAGCCAGCCTGCCCAAACAGGTCGCGATGACTGTCTGTTACGCTGCATTCTCGTTTTTTGGTGAGTCAGAAGAGCTGTGCCAGGTCAGGTATCTTGACACCGAAAGTAGCTACACATCCACCTCCTTTGAATTATTCCACCGATTCTCTGACATCGCCTCTGTGGTACTGAAAACTCATCGGAGCAGCTTCTCAGCTCTCAGTCCCTGACATTACGCACCGAGCACTCCTCTTTGCGCGCAGCCCCACGCGGTCATAGATGCTCTGAACTGTCGGTCATTCAACGTGCTCTACCCGTTTTTAGACTTCATTTAGAATTTAACCTTCTCCTCGAAGTTCAGTGACGGACTTCGATTATAATTTTTTTTCTAACGAATGGATAACTTCATCCACGAATGAAGCGTCGTTGATGAACGAAACCACGGCAACTCCTCCGGGTTTTCCTTTTGGTCGCCTACCTGTGCGGGACCTCTCATTGGCGACAACCCTTGTTAAACCACCCCCATTCACCCATGCTTCATTCAAATGCATATCACGGACTCACAGCAAGCGAAAAGGATGAGAGAAGAGGAGACCGTGGAGACTAACGGACAGGATTTCCCAACAAGTGTCAAACTTTGATAGTTGGATTTACGGTGAGTGGAGCCATTTCCGATAGACAGACAGACAGATGGATAGATAGATAGATAGATAGATAGATAGATAGATAGATAGATAGAT